AAGATATATCTAAGGGCTTTACCCCTTCCTCGGCGGCGCCTTTGTGCCACTTAAAATCATGTTATTGGCATCCAAATACGGTTGACTTGGGGTCGGGTCTTTAGCCGCCTTTGTTTGTTGCCTTTAACGGTATTTCTCTTTTGGTGGCCTTCATTATACAATATCCACCATTCAATCAGCGACGTCACTTCCGTATGAACTAGTTCAGCGCTGAGTGGAGTCGATATATTGGGCAACCGCTGGGGATTCGTTTCTGTCAACATGTTTTTGTCATATCAGCCTCCGTGCCGTTAATTGTCGTTGTTACTGCTCATATCAGTTTATTGGCGATGATTTGCAACTCAGGCACGCCCTCATACGGATCAGAAACTGTTTTAGCACGCTCTGGGCTTTAATTTCTAATTGCCATGCCATTAAAATTTATATTCCTAAATCACCAGACCATAAGCGGGACCCTCTGTATATGTCAAACTGCGCCATTATTCCAGGGTATAATAAAACTCGACATATTCTGAGGATATGAAGCTATTCAGATGAAAGCTTATGGATTTATCATTTGCATTTTATAAGGTAATGCTGAGTATGGTTAATTTTGCATTTATATTTCTCTCAAAACTTGCAGTAAGCTCTACTCATTTGTAAAAATCATTTTAAAGTTGTGTTGCTTAGTGTAAAAGCTTGGCTTTAAGCTTTCGATGTCATAGCAATAAGGCGTCTATAGCTTCTATGAAAACTTGGCTTAAACTTGATGGCTTTTTTGTGAATTCATCACATCTAGAGGCTACAACACCCAAGCTTAAATCCAAAAAGCTTTTCGAAATAATTTCCCTGACTCGTCAACGCACTTGATTGACGAACATTAACTAAATGAAAAAATCTGAGGCTCAATAGCCATTTGATTAGGCTGTCAGGTGATTATAACTACAGAATCCGAGAATTTACTAGCACGTTGATCTGCTCTAATTGGCCTCAAAGGTCGGACAGCAAACAATCTTTTGGGAGAAGCAGCTGTAAGCATTTCGCTTTGTTCTATGGGAACGTTTTTAGACTACAATCAAGTTGAACTTTAAGTCTGCCCATTAAAGAACATTATGCTTAAGTTCTATCTCAGAATTGAGTGGAGACAGTCGTTTGCCCCGAAAGGCCGTAGAACTTGTGGCGAAATTAGCCAGTCATCTTAACGAATTTCGAAAGACAAATGACAATTTAAGATTTATTTCCGCAATGCCCCAATGTCACTGCCTTTTGCTTCGCTGAGTAACCTTTGAGATCGTATTTAAGAACGTTTTTCTGAATAATTTGAATGCGTATCAGCGATATCACGTAGGCTTTGTCCTGAATAAGGCCTGTCACATAAATTGTTGCCAATTCTTAGGGCCTTTCATCCAGCAGTTACCTGTTATTCCTCGGAACCATGACGTAGCCTGCTCGCTGCCAATCCCTTTGAGTACTCGTACACTTTCACTTGGGCTGCAAGAAGCCATATGCATTGTCTTAGAGCAGCAGTTTCGGCGTATTTGCTTATGGCATTAACAGCAATTTGGCCAGCCTGCTAATTGGCTCGAAATGTGTCCGAACACAGACAAAAACATTGCACAATTGCGGCCAATCAACTTGGCAAAAATCTGACTCAAATGCCGTGCATTGTGTGCCAAAAGTTTTCCTCCGATAATTATAGCCACATAGATGGCCAAAACGCTAAGCCCAGACCCAGTCCCAGTCCCAGTCCCAGTCTCAGTCCCAGTCCCAGCCCCACTTCGCTAGACCAGCTTTCGGTTTCCATTTGATTTGATTTTATGTGGCTCGTTTCTTTTGCTCATTCACCAGTTTACAAAAGACCTTGACACATTTGGGGCGTATGTTTTTTGGTGGATATGGCTTTGGCTTTGGCCAAAATCTTCACAAATTATTCAAGCCAGAGACGAGACGACTTAATGGCCAGCTTCGGTTTAGATTGAAAGTGGACCAAGCAATTACGGGTCAAACGGGCAAAAAGCAAGCAGATCGCTTGGCATTTCGCAGATCGGCTTTTTATGAGGCGGCCACAGCCTCTAATTGCGATTAATTAAGCCGCTTGCATTAGCAACTCTTTTGCATGAGCCCGCTCAGAAAAAACAAAGTTTGTATGTGGCCCAAAGCCTCACTTCGCAGTTGCAAGAATTGCATAATATTTGGCGAAAGAAACTGCTTTTCTGTGCTGAAAAGCTCCTCAGCAGCTGAAGCTTTCCAGACCATTGATATGCATTGCACTGAGCAAAATTGGGGAGGAGTTGAGCTTATTTAAAGATTAATACATTTTCGTATAAAAATTATAATAATTTGTAAAATAATTCTTGAAAATGTAGGAAGCCTGAATGAAGACTAAGCTTGTACAGTAATTTACTCCTATAAAGATCTCAATCTTGCTTTAAACCATTACCCTGCTTACTGCTTCACCTGCTACTTCCCCAGGTAAATCGTAAAAGTCTGAAAGTAGGGGATTAGGACACCTCACGAAAAGAGCGAGCGAAAAACGTGTTTCAAGCGAAAGGGAAATTTTATCTCCAAGTGCAATCCGTTTTATGAGCTTGAAACCGCCGCTGCCGTCATCTCGTTGCGTCTGGATGCAATTAATTTAAAAACCAGGCTGAGACTGGAGCGGCTCCCATCTGGAATTCCGCGCCTTTCCTCTGGTGGTTCCCCAGCTTCCCAGGCAGCTCCAACTTCCTCATCGTCCCAAGCAGCGACCTTGTGCCCATTTTTAGAGCGGCATAAAAAAAGCAGAGAGGCGGCTAACTCCGAAAACTGAACCGAAATGAAATTGTCTGTCTGACTGGGAATGGATGGGCTATAAAGGCGATGAAGTAAACAATACGAAAATGTAGATTTGAAATGTGCACATCGCCGGACAAAAGCCTGAAACAGAGACAGTAAGTGAAGCTGTCGCGAGTGAATTGATGCCATGGCAAAATAAAAACTAAAGAAAAAAAACAGAAAAAAGCGAAATGTTGTCAACCAATTTCTTCAATATCTGGCTGCCATTTTTCACTGGTCGCTGTAACTGCTCTGTTACCTTTGTTGTTGTTCTCGTTTTCCCAACTGGCCGAAGTCAACAAACTTGTCCAAGGCGCAGCATGACTGGCCAAAAACAAAGAAAGACAAAGACAAGTTAGAAAATTGCAAGTTTAATTTGGTTTTGTCTTTGTGTTGGCTTCAGCTGATCTCTTTTGGCCGCGTCTCGTGGGGGCGTCTGCCGTGGGTCTAAGCTAAAAACAACAGTTGCGAAATTGGCAGCTTGTAAGCTTGTAAGAGGCAGGCGATTGAAGGCCCTTACACGGCTTTCCACTTGTACAAGAAGCGGCGGCGACTGCACAAATTAGTACACCATGAGCCGGCAGTTTGCTTATTATAATTTAGCTGGAAACCAGATCTAGACGATGATGGTGAGCATTATGAATCACAGACGCTATAAAGCCATTGCAACATATCCCCAGCCAGTTAATGATGAACGAGGAGCTGGACTTGACTGGGCTGGAAGCGCGTTTTCAGGGCTCATTAGCACGTTGCCTGGCGTATTCCGAAAACGATGTCAAGTGCGACAGCGACGCATTTTGCTTGTTTATTTCTTGGCTTGTATACATGCGTAAATTGCTTGTATCGCGACTACAATTATGTCCACTGCACCGACTGCGAGGATGTTTACAGGCCCATCAGTCAGCCGGGAGAGCGCTTTATGCGATTCATTAGGTCCGATTGACAGGCGGGCGTACCAGGCGTATGAGTAATCCACAAGTCTTATTAAATACCGATTTGGGAGCTGGATAAGTCGCATGGAATGCATGACGGGCAGATACGAATTATAATGTATAGCAAGCGACCTTGTCGGTTAATTGCCATTTAATAGCAAAGGAAAAAAATATGTAAACTCTGCTGCGCACACCGTTAAAAAATCCAATTTGTTATTGTATCACTGGTGGAGGGGGACAGACTCGTCTTGTCCATTGACCATTGACCACCTGCTTAAGAGGTCCGAGCGCGATTTGTTACAACACCCAATTTGATGGCACATTTGGCCAGAAACACCCACATCGCCAAGCTGTGCATTTTCAATGTCAGCGTTGCGCAAAACTGGACAGCTTGGTCAGCTTGGCTTCGTTTTTCTCAAACGCGACGAACACCCTTAGTCACGCCCTTAACGCCGGCTTGTTAATTTTTTTTCTTGCCTTTTTTTCTGTTTATTTTTTTCTGGTTCCGATGACATTGAAATTGTGCAATAGGCAAACAACAAAATTTTAATATAGACATGTTTATTGATTTTGCGGCTTGGCCTATCGGCCAACTGCTGTCCATCACTCGCCCGGTTCCCAAAAGCATTCTTTGGCACATTAATTATAGTAATTAAGGCATTTAATTTCGCCTTGAGTCGGTATCTTTCCTTCGATCTCTCTCGATCTATCAGTGGCGGCGAACTTTGCTCCAGTTGGAGTGGCAGGTGGAAGTGGGTACTAGCCGCGACTTATGTAAACAGTGCCAGCAGCAATCCTAATTAAAAGTGCCCGGGAATTTTAATGGATTCGCAATAGCAATTACGGCCAAATGAAGCCATTACAGCCCGATCTGCAGTGAATGGGTGAGCGGCCTTTTGCAATTCTGGCTGTGAGCGGTCGGTCAGAAGAGGAGCCTAAGAGCTGAACGATAGCCGCAGCCCCAAGGTCGCCGGCGGATTGCATAAGCCGCAACGTCACAACGAAGACGTAAAAAACCCAAAAACCGGGGCCCTTTTGAGCGATTTTCCCCCGGCAGCCCGAAGGTGAACCGCCGCTGCAGCGGAACCAGGAGCGAAGCCAACAAACTTGCCTCGCCAAAAAGCTACTCGACTCGATTCGACTCACTTGTTTGCCAGACGAGTCGCGGCCGTTCCACAAGCCACTCAATCGCCGGGCCGAGTTGAGTTACCTCTTTGAGCGCTTTCCGGCGCAGGTGTCTGCGCCGATGCCTAGCTTTCAGTCGAGTTTCTGGCAGCCAAGCAGCCGCAAGTCCGACGTCTAAACGGCTTTTTTAGTTGCTCCCGAAACGCACGTGCAAAAGTGCAACTGCTCCGCTCCGCGCCCGTCGCTCTCGCTTTCGTTCGCTCACCGCGCTCCACTCGCTCTGTCTCTGTCCGTTTCATTGGCAAAGTGTAAAGTGCAAAGCTAGCAACGGCGACGCCGACGCCGACGACGCAGCGGCTCAGCATCAGCTCAGTTCAGCTCAGCCCCAGCTAAGCTCCACTCGAGGCAACGCGACTCAAGCCAACTCAGTTCAGCTCCGACCGCAGACCACGAAGTCAGTCTTAGTCGTACCCTCCAGCGCAGCGCAAGTGTCTCCGCGATCTCCGCTCGGCTACCGCGATTCCACACACACACACGGTGAAGATATTGCCCTTGCAGACCATCATCCGAGTGGCCCTTGTCGTCGCGCCCGCGTTCGTGTCCTAAGTCTTTCGTTTGTCCAGAGCAATCCCAGCCAAGCTTAAGTGGATTACGACGAAATTGTGTGCAAACACCAGCGAACGCAAACCCACTTAGAACGCGCACTGTAAGTGTCAATTTGCTCATCAAATAAATGCCTGGCTGGCTGGTGTATATATTTTTTGGGATTTTGCCGAGCTCGAATGGGACACACACACACGTTTCAGGAAGTCGCAGAACTCCATACAAAGCGATATTTAAGCAAACAACAGCTCATTCTTCGGAGAAACAAATGGCCGCCGCTTTGTTCGCAAACTTCCAACAACCGACATCATTATGACCATCATCATTATAATCATAATCGTGGAGATCCACATCATCAATAACACACAGTGATGCCTCCTCCACACGCCCCCCAATTGTCCACAGGGCCGGCTACTGTCCGCTCAAAATGTTCAAACGCGTGTGCTCCGCGGTACGCATACAAATGGGAACGGAATCGACGACATCGTCGTCATCGTCACCCCAAAACGCTGTTAGAATTGGCACTTGGCTCCCGGGTACAGCTCTGCATGAGCAACTCCACAGTGAAATTGCTACACTTTTTACCTCCTCTGATGACTGCAAAATTGCATAAAAAAGTGTGGAAAATGTGGCCATAATTTCGGTCATTAACTGCAGGCGTCGACATCACCCCGATGTGTCATTCGTGCACCCATTGATGGGCTGATATTATCGCCGTTGCATTCAGCTTAATGTTTCTTTTATCGATTGACAGAATTACCCATTTCTACCCTTTTCACTTTCAACCCCTGGGGCATTTATGATTCTAGCCACAGACTTTGTAGCTCCAACACTTTCTTAAAATAATAAAAAATAAAGACGAGATGCTAGCGACCTCCGACCCTAATGAGTACTTAGCTTAAAGCTGGCTTTTTATCTGAGATCAGCACATTCCATACGGATAGGAGACACTGGACTTTACATGGAGAAGAGACCGGGGAGAGTAGTATGTTACTTAGCCAGTTTCTGTGTGTTTTCCACTGGACAGCCGCCGTAAGCAATTCGAGCAAAGTTCACAGCAGTTAGGCACGGTGACTTTTTGCATTCTCATTGCACAAGTGCTGAACGGCTTAATAATAATAACAATTAAAGCGAGCGCTTAAATCTTATTATAAACTGCATTCATTGTCGTATTCAGTGCACCCAGAGAGACCTTCGGCGAGGGCCCTGAAATTAGTTGTCAAGGTCTGCGGCCCCCTCCTCTTCCATGTGCATTTCCGAACCGTGCAGCATTTAAAGTTTAAACTTGAACTGGTATTTTCGGCTTGGGGGTTTTTCAGTATCTGTCTTTCTTTCTTTCTGTGTTTTTGGGCCGCTCATTCTCTGTTTATCACGTCGCGGCTACGCTTCGAGCAGAGTTCAAGGTGCCTCTCGGATCTCGGATCTCGGCTCAGCAACAGTCCGGACCTGGGGATATGAGATTATTAAGTCATAAAGCGGTGCGACATTTAATTACTACCAAGGCGAATATGATAAAGCTCCTAGAAAATTCACTGGAAATCCGCCAAGCTCAAATTGTTTTACTAATTAAGTGCAGTGTAAGTGCCTTAAATCGATTTTAAATGGACGCCTAATACTTCCCCCAGATGATTGCCCTGAGCTGTATAACCAATGAAATTAGACGTTAACTGGATCTAATGCTAAGTTTCAAATTAGACGTTAGCGGGGTATAATTCTAACTATGGATGCAATCTGGTGCTCATGTAACGTATATTCCATAATTCCCGTTCCGACTGGTCACTTAATTACAGATCAATAGGGCTTAATCACTTAATAAAGTCAAGTAAGATATTTAACAGTCTATTGTCAAGTCTCACATAGTTTTTGTTAGTGCACGGCGCTGACAGTTCGTCATATTAATATGTGAAGTAGATAGTTAAAAGGTGACAACCCTTGGGGCCCATTAGAAATTCAAACTCGCAGCCATTATAAATTCAGAATGAGGAAAACATTCCCTGACAGGCACAACAGTTGCTGGGGTTCACGTGACCCCTGCTATGAACTCCTCCTCGGGATCGATTGTGCAACTGCGAGGCAAACAACAATTGGGAAAATTAAATATTAATTGCGGCAGTCGGACATTCTCTTTCGGGTTTTCGCAGGAATCGGACTGCGGACTGGTTTCTAGAGCAACACTAGAGCCAGAGCCAATCGACACACGCCACCCGTGAATCGATTAGGCTGGGCTCTCGTTCCCTCTGGTAATCTGGATTATCTAACGCTGGCTTTTGGCCAGCACTGAGCTGCGATCAGTGCGGGTGAGTTAGTGCTCGACTGTTTATATTTGGCCATTGGCTTCTGAACGGTCGAAAGACCTGTTGCAGAACCAGTTGCGAGCCACTCGGAGCGACTGGTTTGCCATTTGCAGAAATGGCCAAAAGCCCGCGTCGAAGAAGTTGCAACCACGAAACTGTGTCGCACACAGCCGCACTGCCTGCATTAGCTGCGAGCCGCCACACACGGACATACGTGCCTGAAATTATGTCATCGGAAAAGCCAGTCCAGTCGAAGAAAATGAAAACGAAAACGAAAATGCTTTTGGTTGGGAAAACGCGCCAAGCTGGTCGGTCGCTCGCGAGATCGAAAGTGAAGCCGTTCTGTGCGAATGCTCTTCGGTTCATGGAAATTATCGCCGGCCCTGCCTATTACCAAGGCGGTTCTAATAGCCCGGAGGCCGTCTTAATGTCTGGCACATGTCCGCAGCTTTTGGCCAACAGCAGCAGCAGACACTTGCTTAATGCCACACACGTCGGCTGCGCATTAAGCGTTTTAATCAGCCAACCAAATGGGGTTTTCCTGTCTGCAAATAGCGAGTCGCACAGCTGCTGAAAAGTCGTTCGCTCGGCGGTTGCATTGAGATTGCTCCATTGAAATTTAAATTTAAATGGTATAGTTTATGAATAAACTTATTCAAGCATTGTCTGCAGCTGCTTAAGTGCTTTCACGCTCGAGCTATTGAGCTGCCGATGGCTTAACATTCGGTGGTTGCTCTTGAGTGCAGTGCCTCAGTGGATTCTGCCAATACAGGTAGCTTTGAATATTATGCAAATCAGAACGGATATACAAAATATAAAAAAAGGCAAAAATTGTTTGCAACTTATTTAAAACTTTATAAAGGGTTACACTGTCAAAACCATGATAGAATTATAGATGGTCAAAACTATCAAAAATGTAACCAATAAAAGGTTTCCGAAAGGGCACTATTTGAAACACATATTTCCAACTTAATCCTCTTAAATAAAGACAAATATTTCGGTAAACTCCAGAGCTCTGGATGACTCAGCTTGAGCCAGCCTTTAGGCTCTCACTTATCGCACTTGATGACGCATTCGCCAGTGTTTAGATAAAATTTTCCGCTGCACCGGAGAGCTAGCCCGGAAAGCCATTGCATGCCAGCTACCGATGACCTTGGCATCGCAACGCACTCGGCATGCAAACTAGGCATCAGCGAATCACAAATTGCTAAGAACTCGACTTGTTTTGAAAGCTGGAAACTTCAGATTCAAACACATCTCCAAGTGGGCTGAGAGTCGTGTCCGAAAACAAATGGATTCCAATGTCAAATGCGTACATTGCTTTCGGGGCTCAATTATTATTGTTATTACTGTTTTGATTGTTGTTGCTCGGAACTAACCGAACTAAGCGACCTAAGCGGCTTTTGGGCCGTTCGCATATCGAATTGCCGCTGCCGCAGCGTCCAAGAGACACAGTTCACAGTTTTCTTTGGGTTGGTGTAGGTACACATGTACTGTGTATATCTTGAGTATATATCCACTTGTTGATCGTATAATGGTGCAGTCATACGGCATGACTCTGCACAAAGCCATGAGCCAGCGAGCAGCACCTTAAATTATGAAGCCACAAGGTGTTGATTGTATAAAGTGTATAAAGGTGACATGGAACGGGGAATTCGATCCACCGATTAGAGGTGCTTTCCTTGCGATCTAGAAGCTCGTTTGCCAATCCGCTTGGAGGCTTCTCCCGCCCATTCTGGCTCCTAAGCTCCTTAGCCTTACGGAGTCATTGACGAATTCCCACTCATCAGCCGCGGTGACTGCACAAATTCCGCGGCGATCAGCGGCCAACGTGACGCATGCGCAATGCGGGGTGAAAGAAACGAAACAACAAGAAGGGAAGAAAGAAAAACAATGCGAATGCCAACAGTAGCTCGGCATACTCCCGGTCCAGCCAGTGCATAAATCAAACAACAATTTACGCTCAAACATGATTATTATTTATACATTTCAGCAATGTGTGCCCGCAACACATAAGCCACAGCCGCACATCCAGTTGGGCATTGCAAAAGATCGGTGTTAGCCAGTGTTCGCCCGGCAGCGAAGTAAAAGTAAACGCTTAACAAAGTAACTAGCATTAGACAAAGGCAAATAAAAATTAAAGAAATAGGCAAAGGTACAGACACCGCCACAGCCACAGCCACAAGCGCTAACGCAAATAAAGCAACACCCACCAGCGGCGCTGAGCGATTTCGACAAATAAAATGCTGATATCAACGTAAGTAAATTCGTAAATTCGTGGGTAAACGTGCAGAGATTACGGCCATAAATTGCAATCAAGGCGTTCGGCGAACGCAATAGTTTCGCGCTCTCTTTGACCCAGCTGATGTGTTGACCCACATGGCGCAGCGGCAGTCAATCGCCCGCCCTCGGCTATCAGTCATTGGCGGGGATCGGCTTTGTCTTCCAGTTTCCTGCTGTCAACGCCCGATCTCGGCTTTAACACTTGTCGACCCATTAATATTGCATAATCCCGGCCGCGAAGCGACTTTGCTGCCTTTGATTTGGCTTTTCCAGCTCTTCGCCCTTTTGCCTCTTTCCCGCTTTTGGCCATATTTTGTGTGGCTTTTTCAGTCTCCTCTGTGTTTTGGTATCGCTCGCTGCCTTTGCATATTCGAGCCGAGCGAAAAATGCGACCGCATTTCTCGGCGGGGCGAACAAGTTTGTAATTATGTCAAATACCAAAAGGCTCATTGCATAAGGCCCGAACGCCCCAGAGCCGAATCGAAAGACATTGCGAATTCGTCTTCTTTGGAACTCATCTCCACTTGAGCCGCACTCGATCCAACTGAAGTTGAAACAATGTCTGTCTGTGTATCTCCCGACGTGGTAACGTCACTGATTTATTTGGCAAATGACGAGTCAGTCGTTCGACTGGCTTCCTCGTTAACTTAAGAATAGAAGCTCTTAATTGTCTGGCGACGAGCGACGAAAAACAAAACAAACCGCCCGAGTACAATAAAAGTCAATTACACGACATTTGCATCTTCCGCGTGTGGCAGTGACTTGTATGGAAATGGCTAAGAGGTGTTTTGCCTGCCAATAACAGTAGGCTCCGCTTGGAAATCCCCGAGGCCTGGAAGCAAGAACCAAAGGTACGACTGCGTTCCCCGGGGATGGGCGTGCTTAGCATTCAGCTCACCGCCGGCATCGTTGCGTGACAGACTCCAGCAACAGGAACAACTTGGGTCGCCAGATAATGCCTCTCCCTCGAATGATTACCGGCGATTAGGCGGTTCAATCATCAATGAAATCGAGGCACGGAATGCCTTCCATTTGGTTGTTAAGTATAGAAGATTTCTTAAGAGGGCTTTCTTGGGTGTAGAGATTCATTTGAAATTTATTTTTATTCTATTTACAATAAGATTGCTTAACAAATTACCAAACAAAATATATTCCCGCTGACAATAGAATTTATATTTAAAAACATTTTATGATTTGTGATCGTATCCGACGTTATGAGCTCACTATCCCTTCTGTGGGAGTCACTCTGAACTTTGTCTGCCCTCTCTGTTTTATTTTAAACTATTCGCCACGATAATTACACATTCTAAAGTTCGTATTTTACATGGCGAGCAAAGGGCGGCGAGGAAAATGTGTCAGTTGTGGCGAGTTAGTGCCATTAGGCGTATTGATGATTTGCGATCCGGTTAGGGGGAAATGACGCCACAAGTGACTTTTTTCGGGGTGCCTACGTTGAACTGCAGAGATGAGTGCTTCGAAACAGCTTTCAAGTGTTTTCCCCACACGATAAGTCAGCCGGTGTTGACAAACCCTCATCGATTCTCACGCTCTGTCAGCCGGGGTGCGTCGTCTGCTGGAGAAATCAACCGAAAAAGTCCCCAAAGATATGAGGGCCCGTGCTGGGCAGAGCGCTGCATGCATAAATAGCGCTCTAATAGTTAATTAAATTATCAATAAGCAGTCGCGCGAGCGCAAACAAACCATCGGCAGGCCCAAATTTCCAGCCATAAATGTCAAGCACAGCGAGTGGGGGGGAGAGAAGGTAAAAATGTCTGCTTTGTTGTCATTATAAAAACTACCTGGCCTGACCTTGTCCATTGTTAACTGTGCACACCACACACACAGACACTGGTACGGGTTTACGCAACCAGCTGGTGCCAGTGTGTGTGTGTGGCTTTTGGCTGTGACTAACTCCGCCACAATACGCAAATCGAAAGACCCAGGCAACGAACTTGAAACACATTTCGTCAACCGGCTGGAATTGCAGCATGGCATTTCTGAGTGCGTCTCGGATTCGGATTCGTATTCAGAATTCGTTTGGCCCAGCCCCAAATGTTGTCAGTCGGCGGAGGCGCATTATGCAAATATTTGATAGGCCGCATAATAAAGCTACTTAATTTTCACTGCAAACCCGGTATTGGAGGATGTTTGCTCGCCACTCGACCGTTGGGCAACGGCAACCAACGCATGGCATCCCATTCCATCCCCATCTCGCGTGCCTTATAAAAAATGCAAATATTTGCGCCCGATCGAATATTTATCTTAACGAGAAGTAACGCAATCGATTAGCAAAAACTCGAGACAGCCAAAAAGCGAGACCAAATCGTTTTCGAAAGCGGCATCAGTGCCGAAAAACAACAACATCGGGGATCGAATGCGTTCAATCAGTGACCTTGAACTAGTTTCCCCCTCCAGCGTCTTATTTATATGTGTTTATTTTCGGTGTGTTTGTTTCGTTTCTCGTTTTCTGCTGCTGCTATGACTATGACTTGCTCGGCGCTAATGATACGAAAGCCCGAGCACCGAAAAATAGCTGGCAGTCAAAATATGTTAAAAAGGTGCGAATGTGATTAATTGCAGGCAATTATGAACTTTCTTTCCGCCGACCACCGTGGCTAACAATGCAGCTAACCTTGACCCAAAACCCCCCCCAGAGCTCCATCTTGGCCTGCGGAGTGTTTGCCAGCCAAGTGGAGGCGATGCGTGCGATGCAGGCCAAAACTGCATGCGGAATTGCATAATGGGCGCTGGCAATGCAAATGCAAACTTTGGCTTACATATTTGCCCAATGGCCGACCAACTTGGCAGTGGTAGTGGTAATGTTGGGCAATCGGCCAGAGCAGGTCCGAAAGCAGTACGGTTTTACTTTGCTGCGATTTGGCTTAGCTCAACTCCAACTTCGGCTCAGAGCGACCAAGTGGCCAAAAAGCGCGTTGGGCAAGAGACGACGAGTGCCGGACCAAGTATCAATATTGAAATGAAAATGAAAAGTGTTGCCTAGCTAGTCAGTCCATTGTTATTGCTGTCTCTCTAAGTTTTATGCCTTTTTTTTTGCAATGTGTGCCGCTGACATAGTTTCGATGGCAACCCATTGAAGCATACTGCCTCGCGAACAGCGCCGGTTCAGATGCTAATTCGATCGGCTCGGCGAACGTTATGCAAATTGCGATATGCGACAGCAGGAAGCTGCCACTAGTTGGCCAATAATGATAATAATACAAATTCTAAAAATGGATTTAGCTACCAGCAGATTTGGAACCAGTTCTGCCCTGCACTTGGATTAACATTTTTTACAGCTTTAGGGTGATTTATTATTTTTCATTCAGCTTAGACCCTGTAATTTTCGGTAAATAAATCAGTTAAGTGGCTTTAATGCCGACTTGGGTTAATGTTTTGGCATATTTTGATATGGAATTCAGATTTTCTATAGGTTTTGTATCACTCTAATTGTTCTTAAAATCGAATAAAATAAAACGTAGCTTTAACTGAACCTACTTATAATTGTCACTACTATGCAAATAAATATAAAATGAATGCAATAAATATATGCATTGACGGCAGTTTTTCTAGCAGACGAGTTTATAGTTCAACACTTATCAGTAAATAATTAATCAATTAAATAATCGTTAAATAATTAAATATGAAATCTTATATATTTCATAAAGTAATAAATAAAACTGAAAATCATATACTTAGCTATATTTTCTGCTAAATAATTGATCATTAATTGGAAATCACTATTACTTCCACTATCCACAGAAGCAGGAAATTACTCATGACAAAGTTGTGGTTAATTGTATTTGCATTGAATATATTTATTGTTAATTTATACTACATTATTAAGTGACTTGCACTTCTAATCTTTGAACTTTGCTCTATTTTGCAGCATTTCCACAGACTCCGCAATGGCGGCCACAAACAACGATGGCGGCACACAGCCCAATGCCGTGGCTGCTTGGGGCGCTCCTGCCAACGGTCCCCGGAACACACAGGCGGCCGTGTCCGTGCGACATGCCTTCAAGGCGTACGGCAAGAAGAAGAACGCCAACCAAGTGCTGAACAACCTGAACATGACAGTGCCCAAGGGAACGATGTAAGTGATGCCTCAATCGGGGATCTGTATCTGGGTTGTGCGACGTCGACCGCCATTAATAAAAGTGAAATGTTGACAGCGCATTTAGCGAGTTCATAAAATAGAAACGGCGAAAGTAATTAGCACTTAATATGGGCTGAGCTCGAATTCGATATTAGACGTTGGATGGGCAATGCCAGGCAGTGCGATTTCCTTGTGTCGGAGATTTGATTGCCTGGCCTGATCTCGGTTCTAGTCAGAGGTCACTTGGCTCTATAGTAATTGCGGCTATTATACGGCAAACCAGTTTAGTTTAGTCATTGGACTGTCTTGTAATTGAAACGGCATTTTTGCATGATAATTCGATGCGGCTGACGAGGGTCGTTAGGGAAGTTCGCTGGAAGTCGGCCGATCGGGATGATCTTAATTAAGCCACTTCCGAATTGACGTCAATGACGCGGCCCATCCACACGTCTTTCTAATTAAACAAAAAATCCATTCGTATGCCAAGCAAGGCGTAATATTTGCGATATTATCCAATAGCAATATTTTTCGATTATCGCCCGGAGAACGATTTTCAAGTTCGGTTTGTTTATCCGATTGTTTGGAGTCCACTGCGCCTGTCTATTTATCTCCATCTCTGTCGCGGCACATGTGCTTAATTGAGTTCCCCCGAGACCCGCTCCCGATCCTCGCCTCGCCTCGCCATAGCTTCTAGACCCCTTATGCGGCTCATGAATTTTTGGCAAACATTTTAGGGGCCATTAAAATAAAGTCGTAAATATATTTTGCCTTCGCCGCAGTTGGCATTGATATGGCCCGCGCAGAGTTATAATAATTCATTTTTGTTTGTCTCAAGTGTTTCTTGTTTTCGGCATTCTGAGTGATTTATTCGGCGCATTAACGCGCTGTGTCGTAACGGAATTTTATTCGATTCTAGCCGGCAGCAGTCTTGACCCAGTTAACAGCTGGTTCGTTCAGCTTTGACCTAGGTCAGGTCGTCGAGTTGTTACTCATCTTGAGAGTCGAGTCAACGAACTGCACGCCGCAGGCCAAATAGCTTTTGGGGTCTCAAAGTCAGTCGCATTGACGACTATGTCAATTAAAGTCTTCCCGACGTATCAGATCGCTGTGTGCCTCTTGTTAAATTCGTTAAATGGCACAGCGTGTTAATTATAATAATAAATCCAATAACAGGCCAAAACGTGCGACCTACGTGCTGCAATATTTTGTCAAAGGCCGAAAACCGAACGAAAACAGACGACAAAATAACAAAGCGATAATCACAATAATCGCCGCCGCTCCGAACTTCATCATGACGCTACTAGACTGGGGGCTAGCAGCCACTCCACCTCTCCAAAAAAAGAGGCGGAGTCGCCGTTGATAGCTGGCTGCGAAGAGACCCGCCAGTATTTTTTACATTTCAAGGTGAACATTTCGGAATAATTCAACTTGAACTGCTGGAATTAGCATTGACATCGCGACACTGCCAGTTACATATAGTCATGTCAGTTGTGGTGGCGACAGTTTTCGTGCTGATCTAGCAAAATGTTTTTCCCTCTTCAAGCACATTTTTCGCCCATTTCTTTTGGTCTTGGTCACGGTTGGCCTCTTGACCTCTGCGACCCCGAATGAGGCACAATAAAAGCTAAACAGCTGACTTAACATTAAGTTGAAGACCTTTCGTGTCTGAAAAACATAAACAAAGTCTGATCATCGAATTAATCCTCTTTCCAGCTATGGCCTTCTGGGAGCCTCGGGATGTGGCAAAACCACCCTGCTTTCCTGCATTGTGGGTCGTCGTTACCTGGACTCTGGCGAGATCTTTGTGCTGGGCGGTAAGCCAGGCACTCGGGGATCAGGTGTTCCTGGAAAACGCGTGGGCTACATGCCCCAGGAGATTGCCTTGTATGGAGAGTTTTCCATCCAGGAAACCATGATGTACTTTGGCTGGATTTTCGGCATGGAGACCAAGGAGATCATGGAGCGTCTGCAGTTTCTGCTCAACTTTCTGGATCTGCCCTCGGAGAAGCGCCTGGTGAAGAACCTGAGTGGTGGCCAGCAGCGCAGAGTGAGCTTCGCCGTGGCCCTGATGCACGATCCCGAGCTGCTGATTCTCGATGAGCCCACCGTGGGCGTGGATCCTCTGCTGCGCCAGAGCATCTGGAACCATCTGGTGCACATCACCAAGGCCGGCCAGAAGACGGTCATCATCACAACACATTACATTGAGGAGGCGCGACAGGCGCATACGGTGAGTTAAACATATTAAATAAAAATTAATTAATATTTATTTGTGTAACTTTTCCCCCTGATAGATTGGTCTCATGCGATCGGGTCACTTGCTGGCCGAGGAATCCCCAAGCGTCCTGCTCTCTATGTACAAGTGCATCAGCCTGGAGGAAGTGTTCCTCAAGCTGTCTCGCATCCAGAGCCAGAAGGGCGATGTAACCCACGTGAACTTCAGGTAAGGCTCCCGCCTTGGGACTAGCATGCACCAAGTGGCTAACCCGACACTCACTCTTATCACCACTCTGAACTCTGACCTCTCTCGTCTCCGACACCGACTCCTCCTCACCATCCAACACTCGCATGCTCGCAATCCGTGTTCCACCCCCCATCTCTGTGTGTGTTTGTGATCATTCCGGGAGTAGTAACAACATCTCGTTGCACGCCATGGCCTTCGGCAGCAAGATGGACAAGCCCAGCTCCAGCCAGGAAGGCGGTGTTGTGGGTCTCAACTTCCACCAGAGCAAGGAGGTGCTCATCAACGACAGCAACGGCTCGATCTACACGGTTTGTTGTGCCTTTATTTCTGTGATTGTGATACCCGGACTCACTTTTTCCACTCTTTTCGTGACAGCTCAACCAGGAGCCATACAGCCCGCCGCCGTCGCGGCGCAACAACAACCCCAATGATGAGGAGAGCTGCCAGGACTGCTATGCCAGCCTGTGCAAGGTCACCTCCAAGGGCAAGATCCGCGCCTTGCTGACCAAGAACATGCTCCGCATGTGGCGCAACGTAGGCGTAATGCTGTTCATCTTTGCCCTGCCCGTCATGCAGGTGATCCTCTTCTGTCTGGCCATCGGACGCGATCCACAGGGCCTTAACCTGGCCATAGTCAACGGGGAGATGAACGACACGGTAGGGGTAAGCCACACATCTGAACACTACATTAATTTGATAGAACTAGAGGCACACAAAACAAATTACATACACCAAAGATTAAACTGTAGGATCAAGTTTATAAAAAAATAATTAGCGGAGAATTTATGGAGATGGTAGCACTGTAATTGTCATAAACCAATAGTAGCCTTACTCTTACTCGTACTTCAACTAACATGATCATAATTCTTTAAAGGAACACTGCTATTGGGAGGATGGTTGCCACTTCAAGAACCTGGGCTGTCGCTATCTGAATCATCTGAACACGAGCGTTGTTAAAACATATTACACGGATCTAGAGGACGCCAAGGAGGCAGTGCGGATGGGCAACGCCTGGGGAGCCGTGTACATCAGCGAAAACTTTACGGATGCCTTTATCGCACGCTCTAATCTGGGGCGCGACGCCGACGATGAGACCATCGACTCCTCGGAGGTCAAGGTTTGGCTGGACATGTCCAATCAGCAGATCGGCGTCATGCTCAACCGCGACATCCAGCTGGCCTTCCGTGACTTCGCCATGGGGCTGCTCGGACAGTGCAACTACAATCCCAAGCTTGGCGACGTGCCCATTCAGTTCAGGGAGCCCATCTATGGCACCATGAATCCCTCGTTCACCGATTTCGTTGCACCTGGCGTGATCTTGACGTAGGTTTCCCTGCTGCCCGTTCAGCCAAATAAGTGTGTAATTAATTTTTTGTTTATATCTCTCTAGCATTGTTTTCTTCTTGGCTGTTGCCTTGACGTCATCGGCTCTGATCATCGAACGTACCGAGGTAATAACAAGCATTTAAATATATATAGAGCTCCGATGGTAACTGAGCGACTCCTTTCAGGGCTTGCTGGACCGCTCCTGGGTGGCTGGCGTCTCGCCCGGCGAGATCCTCTTCTCGCACGTGATCACCCAGTTCGTGGTGATGTGCGGACAGACCACCCTGGTGCTGATCTTCATGCTGGTAGTGTTCGGCGTGACCAACAACGGCGATCTCTTCTGGGTGATTGTGCTGACGCTGCTGCAGGGTATGTGTGGCATGTGCTTTGGTTTCCTCATCTCCTCCGTGTGCGAACTGGAGCGAAACGCCATTCAGCTGGCGTTGGGCTCCTTCTACCCCACTCTGCTGCTGTCCGGCGTGATCTGGCCCATCGAGGGCATGCCCGTGGTGCTGAGGTGAGTCCTGGAACCCGAGTCCTGTGTGACATAGTTTTATTAACCTGTTTTGGTACCCCTCAGATACATCTCGCTGTGCCTGCCGCTGACGCTGGCCACCTCCTCGCTGCGCTCCATCCTGACGCGCGGCTGGGCGATATTTGAGTCCGATGTGTACATCGGCTACCTGAGCACGCTCTCCTGGATCCTGGGCTTCCTGATCCTGACCCTTCTCGTGCTGCGCGCCAAGCGGGGCTAAGGGACCAGCCTACTTTTAGAAGCGTACTTTAGATTGCGATTAGTCGTCCTAGTTAGTTACCCCCCTACTTCGGCTTCACCTCCCCCAGCTTCCGACCCCCTGTCGTATCCTGCGAGCCCCCGATATCCCTGTCTTCTGCCTAAATGTCATAAATTATTTAAGCACATACGCAGCTTTCCTTAGCTTCCTACTCGGCACTCCCTCCTAGGCTAAGATTCACACATTTCGTAGTTTAAAGCGTAAGGTTTAGGTACCTAAATGAATTGTTTGTAAATATTTTGTGTCACGAATTATTCAGTAATTTGTTGCTAGATGTCCATTACGTGCAACTCTGTTCTAGACCCTCTTGACTCCGAAACGGGCGATTTATCACACACAACTTATTTTATATATTTTTCAATGGACTGTGATTGTTTTTTTTTTACATATTGCACGCGAACGCACGTTGGCAAGCCTAAAGAAAAACAAAAAGAAAACACAAGAAAATCGAACAAAAAGAATGGTGGGTTTTGTTAGTAACATTAAGTAGCTTAAAGCATTTTTTGTATGGGTTTAAGTTTTTTAAGGTAAAACATAATTAAATACAATAATGTACCCCTACCCTAAAGATTATGTAAAAAGAGTATATATTTCAGGAAATATTATGCATCGCATAGGTATTTCGCAACGAACTAAAACAAGAGCAAAATGAACAACGAAAAAGTTAGTGGACGTTCTTATTTAAGTAAATCATTAACTATGTGAACGCAGTTATGTATAAATAACAATAAAATCTAAATAAAGAAAAACCTTGATGAATTTCATTGGACCATAAAACTTATCTAATGGATAATTAAAATATGAATATCCTCAAATTTTTAACTCAGATTTATTAATCTAGAAAAAACTAACACAGAAATGCTTTCCAAATTAAATGTAATGATTTTTTAATTTAGTTATGATATTTTTGTGTTTTCATTTTCCTAAAAATTATCAAAACAGATTATGGATTAATATTTAAATACTCCTTTTGAGGGTATTATTATTTCAGAAGACAATCTTCGCTGTGCCAAAGTTAGCTTCCTTTCTTGTTATTTATGTTTTAAAAGAGAAACTCAAAAACAATAAATTTTATTAATTTTAAAGATGAACCGCCAAGCTAAATCTTCAGCTGGCCACACTAATCATACACCATTTTACCGATTGGGACCCCGTTTTACATACCGATTGGGAATTCGACACCATTGCTACATTTGACATACCAAACTAAATCCTCAGCTGGTCACACTTATTTAAGAAATAATGTTGGCCACACTTATCTAACAAAAAACAAAAATAAAAGAATGTTTCCCTTGTTTTTCTTTGTAAATAACGTTTTTTAACGTTTCTAAGGCAGCGAAATGGACAAGTCGCGGTCCAGTGCCTACGACAGGTTCGTCAGCTTCGTGGACCAGCTGCGCAATACGGAATGCAGGTAGGTTTTCAGGTATTATAGAACGTTTTGTGGGGTGGGGACCGGCAACAGTTGTTTTTCCTTACGGAATAGCTTATAATGATAATAACTATAACATACAAAGCTATTACCAAATAAGGGCTACAACCTATCTGAGTTGACAACTAAAGTATAGTAGTAGAATCTCTATAAAACAAGGGCTTTCGCTGTGACGTCACTAATCACCTGAATCATCCACAGTCAGAAGCAGAAAATCACCTGCTTCCAGCAGATCGCCGAGTGCATTATGTCTCCCTCGCTGGCCAGCCACATCAACTATCCCGCACACTGTGGCACGGCCACCAATGTGCTGCTGCTCTTCTGCGAAGACCTGGACTCGGTGGTGCGGATGAGCGCCGAGGAGAACCTGAACAGGATCTTCAGGGCACTGGAAAAGACGCGGGTCAGTCGCATCCTGATGGACCTTTATGGCGAGATTAAGAGGAACGGGAATCAGAGGTAACCTAAACCTAAATAAGTCTCAAAACTCCTTTCTCAAGTATTGAATTTCCTTTTTAGATCTTTGAGGATTTGCCTGAATCTATTCTCGTACTACGCCCCTCAGATTAAGGAGAAGCACATCAAGTGGTATGCTGTGAGGCTTCTGCAGTGCATGTCCACCATCTCCCAGCGCAAGGAGACGCTGCTCCAGGAGACGCTCTGCGACTTTGTGAAGCACTTTGGTCGCTATGTGCAGCAGGGTCTCAGCGACAGCGAATCCTGCAAGTTGTTCGAGGTGAGAAGCGGGAAACCATTCCTTTTGCATTCGACTCACTAACCCCAGCTTGTGTTTGTTTTAACAGATATTTCTGGACAACATTGGTGCGGATTGTGCCGTGAAGCGTCGCTGCTCGGCCCAAAATTGCATCAGTCTGATTGAGTATGCCCGCAATAGGAGTCTCATGGCCAGGCACGGACTGGGCAAAGTGATGGGTAAGCGTAAGCAGAAACCGGAAATGAAGCGCGAGAGTAGAATGCGAAAATACTGTATTTACTTTTATAAGCTACTAGGAAAGTCAGGATTTTTAATGAATTATCCAACAGAGATACATATATCGCATTTTCAAGAACTTGGCAGGCTTAAGAAGCACGTATTCAATTAGCAAAGTTTTAAGGAAATATTAGCTTGATGCATTTGTATACCCCTGCAGGATATAATAATTTTAGTCAGAAGTTTGCAATGCAGTGAAGGACTCATTTCCGACCCTATAAATCATATATATTCTTGATCAGCATCAACAGACAAATCTTTCTAGACATGTCGAGAAAAAAAAAAAAATTTCATAATTTTTTTCAAAAAATTATAAGGGGTTACATCGTTAAAATTGTCAAAAATTGTCTAAAATTTCATTTTTCTAAATTTCTTAACTTAATATGCCCATTTGTTAACCAAATAAAAACTAGCATACAACAGTTTTCCGAATTGAATTTGAAACATTTTTGGCTTAGTTATAATGTTTTTAAATTTCGATTTGCCCCGAAAAAATAGGTCTATAAAATAATTTTAATACACATATCTTAAAGACGCAAGGGTATACAACCTTTGACTTCCTAAAAGTTATCTTGTGTTATCTTGTATTTTCTTAAGCCTTAGTTAAAGTTACATTTTATCTTTTCTGCGATATAAAAACTGCTGAATCCATACTTTCCTACTAAATTAAACCCATTTGCTATGCCAATCCATGCCCAGTTCATCTAACTTAAATAAAACCCATGTTTTTTGACAAGAGATTCAGTTAAAACTAATCCACGATTCAATGGCAAATCTCTTGTTATTGCTGTTAGACATTTAACGCATTTTCACTCGCGACATGTCCAGCCAAACTCTCTTTATTCTCATCAATATTGAAAGAGGTGTTTAAAAAGCGTGTAACGGCCAAATGCTAAGCCCCACATATATCTGCAAATATGCATGTACGTATATACCATACATACAGATATAGTTATGCTTGCGCTGGCTAAAAAATATTTTTAATATTCTAAAAAGCCGCAAATCCATGAAAAATCCCGTACCAGAATATAAAGCCATCGAGCTGAGAGTGGGGAAGAGAGGCTTTGGGGTCTATCGAAAATCGCATTGTGAATGCAATCACAGTCACAGGTTTGTTTTTGTGTGGTCTGTGGGCGCTGGGGGAGGGGCGTGGCCGTGCCAGAATAAAAGTAACTAGACAGTTGATATAAATTATATTTCTATATGGCTGTTGGTTACCTCGCGCAATCGATCGACGAGCCATGGAATATATGTATCTTTTTTGGGATTTGTTTTGATTTTAGACAACGATACTGGGCGGTTTTTATTTTAGCATTTGCTGCACCAATATCTGCAGCGAACAAAACAAAAGTCATGTGAAAATACTTCAAAATGGCAAACACAAATCATTTTTTATTGAATTTTCATGAAAATATTATTGGCAAATATCGACGAGGAGGTAAATGCACCTCAGTTACATTTCCATAGTTTTTTTTTATGAGCCGCATTGTGAATGCATAAAATCGGCAACCGAAAAGCATCCATAGTTATGAATTCCACTTTAGGAACAATCGGTGCGAGTGTGTGCCGCTTGCAAACATTTAAAGTGAAAAGCCCGGGAAAGCTGGAAAACTAATTCATTAAAGTTGATTACTTTTGCGATTCATATATGCGAATCGGACACCACCTAAGCCCATAAAAAATAAGCTTCGGCTTGACTTTACCTTTGCTCTTTTCTTGTCCAAATGTTTACCTTCAAATCAACTCCTTCAGTTCCTGTTCCGGGGGCCGCCCGCCCCACCGCTGCCGGCTCTAGTCCTGTGTCAACTTTATGCCACTTCTCGGCAAAAGGCACAATGCCAGGCAACTCTTCAGCGCATCCTTATACAGTCTGGCGCCTCTTTTTATGGGCACCCATCACAGAAGCAGCAGCAGCAGCAGCCGCAGTAGCAGCAGTACTTGTGCTGCCTGCGTCCTGGCATGCCCCAACAAACAGACACAAAGTACGGTCCTAGTCCTCGGATCCTAGACCTCAGAGAAGCCGCCGCTCCGTTTGTTTGTCTTCTCCGCCCTTAGACGAAATGAAATTTATGCACTTGGACACTTCCATGCAATAATTCATGCGAAATTGAATCAGATATTCATTCCTGTGCAGCTTTAAAGCGGATAATCAACGTTGTAAACAAATGCCGGCCGAACGGGGAGTACGACGAGAGTGGGAGCAAGGCCAGCAGCTGCAAAGGGAGCATGCAAAATTTATGTTGCCAGCTGACTGATGCCGAGCTAAACAAAAAGTGCAAATTATTTTTCATGTCAACTGTGGCAACATAAATAGCCAAATGGCCAATTCATTCGCCCAAGTGCAACTCTTCTTGAGGATTTACTATATATATCCTAGATTGTGCAAGCAAAGCATATCTTCTCCCTAGTAATAATGTCCATAAAATTGTAATTAAAGTGAAGTTATAACAGCCTGTCCCTTAATCATCTTTCTACTAGTATACCAGTGATTAGAAGACTTCTTATAGGTTGATCTTTCTGCTAAGCAACCTTTCGAAGGCTATTAATTGCAGTCTTTAAACGTGCCCAGCATGAAGCCATTTCCCAGACCTCCTCCCCCCCTTTTTGGGCTCGCCAATTTTGCAGAAAGTTCCTGCGGCTTCTGCCGCAATTAATTGATACACATGGAAACAGGCCGCAAGTTGTGCTCGGCAAAGTCACTTGGCTGCCACAAGGGCCATGTAAAAAGTTTCTTCGGCGAGAAGTGTTTTCAATTTTGCGCCCCAAAGGAAGAAAATGAAAACTAATTGAGTAACAAACTTCCAACATGGCGTTTTGTGATTGGTGGCGTATACGTAATGAAACGACAAATAAGCGGAGACAACAAGAACAAGAAACGAGAACTGCGTGGGCGCGGGAGCTGCTGAGAGTGTGTAGGTGAGGGTGCTGGTGCGGATGCATGTGCATGTGTGCGGAGTCTATAAATATCAGATGGAAAGTTTTCAACGAGATAAATTTAATTGGAGGCAATTTGTTGCAAAACATATGAGGGAAAAGTTGCCAAGAACACGAAAGAAGTATGAACTGCAATTGGGCAGCCAAAGCGAAAGTGGGTAAAAAGGTATCGCTGGAATTGCCACTGCCATCGGAATAGCTGTGGGTGAGTGGGTCGGAGTGGGCTATCCGTATCGCTTGCTTATTGAGCAAATTGGAATTGCCAGCGCACGCAGCGCAAAAAGTTTGGAGAGCGTTTTTAATTTGTATCAACAGCAGCCATAAGTTTCTCTCCATTAACTAAGTTATCTCTCCCACTCCCCTGTTCTTTCAGAGCTCCTGCTGACGGATCAGCAGACCAGCAGCGTGCTGGGTGCCCTGGGACTGCTGCGTCTCCTGCTGCCGCAGCTTATACGGGGCTACTCGGCCGCCAGCCAGGAGGACTCCGAGTCCTTGGCCGGTCAGCAGCAGCAGCAGCAGCCGAAGCATCAGAAGAGGCAGCAGCAGCAGCAGCAGACAACGACCTCCGACTGCCGGCAAATTATTGAAATTTATGATTATTGTTTGCACCTGCTGAGCACGCAGCACACCACGAATCACGCCATCATAAATGCCACCCTGGAGGTCATCAACGGCATACTCCAGGCACTGGATGCCCCTTCCGATGGCCAATACCAGGGCCACAGCCTGGGCCAAAGTTTGCGGCAACTGTTGTGCAATCAACAACTGCAACACAATGAGTATTTGCGGCGAAGGAAATCATTAAAGAATCAAATATTCCAATTGAAAAATTACGAAGTGGCGACAAGTCAACAGCCAGTGCAGGATGAGCTTGCGGATGGGGATGAGGATGCTGATGGGGATGGGGCGACTGCAATGCAAATGAAAAAGAATTCAAATGCAAAACTGCAGCAGCCAAAGTGTCAACAGCAGCGGCAGCAACAACAACTCGAGGTTGACAGCAGCTCGCTGGGAATTAATGCCGGAGAAGATGCCACGACCGAGGCTGCAAGTTCCGTCGCTGATGAAGGTATGGCAAATAAGGCAGAAGCCAAGTCGAGATGGCTTGTGCTCTGAGGGTGTGTGTGTGTGTGTGTGTGCACAGTCATGTGGAAATGTGACATGCTGACACAGGATCAGGGGGACAGGCGGTGGAGGAGACTAACCCACAGACAGACCATGCCGAAATCAAGAAAATTGAGCAATTGCACGGGCTGATGGAGACACCCACACACACACACACACACAATGCACATATGAAAATTATTAGTGCATGCTTTTAGGCGGGGCGGCACATGCGGCAACGAGGTCAGGCCAAATTCGCATTTGCATTCGCCGCCATCGGATTCCTGCACAAATATTTACACACATTGTAAGGCTAACCCCACACTCTTTCCGCCCTTTCTCCATTTATTCCAGGAGCAAAGGCGCAGCGAGGCCACATTAGGAATGCCGCACGCAGCATCAGCGAGTGTGTGGCCTCCGTGGAGGAGCGGCAGGGCGACGATGATGACATGGACGATGATGACGACGACATGGAGCTGCTGAGCGCCGAGTGTGATGACTTTACAACCCTGTCGCAACTAAATGAACAACAACGGTCGCTGTCAGCGGCCCTGCAATTGCCCGCAACAACTGCAGCAACTACGGGCGATAAACTGATTGATGTTGATGCCGATGTTGGGGGGCTGCCTAAACCGCAGCATCAGTCATCTCTGCAGAATCTGCTCGCCGGCAGCGAGGACAAATCCCAGCATTTGAGTGACATCGACAATGAATCTTTCAACAGCATCGATTTCGAAGCCGAAATCACAATTGCCGGCAGCGGCGGCTCTGGCAGAGAGCAACAGCAACAGCAAACAGAGCAGACGCATCCCACGGCGGATGGTTCCGGGGAATCCGAGCCCGGCGACGCAACAGCAATTGGCACATTCTTCAACAACCTGCTGTCCCACTCCAATGCAGGTGAGTCCGCCATAACATAACCGAACAAATATTTCATTAGCGAAGTTCAAAGTCAGCGGAGAGCGAGTGGAAAACTATTTTCATTCGATGTTATTGCATTTCACGGTCCACCGCAGTCGCAACCGAATCCTGTATTCGATTTTTGTTTTGTCTTTTCCGCCAAACAATTCAACATTTATTGGCAATATTCGGGCGAGGGAATTATTTGCATAATTGCGGCAGAACTGCCGACGTGACTCGCCGGCGAGCAATTGCACTTGCGATTTAATGAAGCGTAATTGTTGCCGCTGCAACTCGCAGCAATCGAGCCATCTCTCAGCAGTCAGGCGAAATTTTGGGTATTCGTGCAAGGCATGTAACCGGCATCATTTGTGGCTACATAGAGAAAACAAATGTTTATGATATTGTTTATTGGAATAAATTGAAAACATAGGGAAAGTTAATAGAATTTAATTTATATTTTGGAATAGTTTAAAGGCTAGCATATTAGTCCTCTCTCTGACAAGAACTCTTTCTAGACATGAAAATAACTTTAAAATCTTATTCTGGAAATAGTAGATTGTTTGCAACCTACCTACCTTTTATATTTCTTCAGGTGTAACCTAGCAAAGAAAAACCCCTCAATTCCTCTGATTTTAATGATATTTACTTGCACTTTGTAGCATATTGATTGCATTGTCCTTGAGATAATTTATTTTAATATTTAAATCGCTTTGCTGCTCGACTGACTGGCTGAAGTCAACTCCAATCTGGGAGCGCCAGCCAAGTGCATATAAGTAGGCTGCTGCTCCCCTGACCTACAAAGCGGAGGAAGGACGGATGGCAGACTTGATGCCAGACCCATGTCCTGTCGTTAGTTAGTGCGCGGGGGTGGGGGCTAGTAATAAACAAAGGAAATGTACTGCACTGAGCCGGAAGTACTAATTAAGCGAATGAGTTGTGGGCGGAGCAAAGTCCTGGTGAAGGGAAAGGAACAGGAAAAGGGAAAGAGACAGCAGCGAGTGTGTCGGAGGCAGGGCCATATAAAAACCCACATCTACTTGACGTAAATGTTGGGCTTAAATCCGGCATTTCTTGCCAGGGTGTGTGAGTGTATGCGGGGGATGCGGATTAAGCTTGAAACATGGCAATGCATTTGCTGTGCGATGGCCCCAAACTGGAGCCACCATCACCACCGCCGCCGTGGCAACCTCATTGCTGGTTTTCTTGTGCCGCCACTGCCACTTGGCCAAAGCATCACACTGCAAGTTGGCAACAAAGTGGTTAAGACAAATGGGTTACGTGATAAAATGCGGTTACTCAAATTGCATGTATGCAAGCTTACATGTTGTGTCACAGTCAGCGAATGTGTGTGTGTGTGTGTGTTGTGTGTGCGGGTGTGAGCTTGGGGTTTATTTAGCATTGCCAGGAACAACCAGCCAGTCCGCCAAACGGGCCAAAACGAGAGGAGCCAGCCATCAGTTGCTGCACTTTGCCTGGTTCGCGTTTAGCCGTTTTTATTTTTATTTTCCTCGTTCCTGCTCCCATCGCCTGCCGTTATTTTTGTTTTTCTTTTCCCTGCTTTTCCTATAGCTGTTGTTGTTGTTGGTGGTGTTGCTGTTGTGCACTTATGCGCTATCAGCCTTTTTGCGCTGCTTTGCTCGTCCGTCCGCGGTAGTTATTGCCGGTTGTTTGTTTTTTTGTTAAATATATATAGGTCCGGGGATATGTGGCCACAGCCGCCCGTCTTTATCTGCAGTAGAGCCTCGACGATTAGTATACACTTCTAAGACTAGGGTACTCGAGACATAAACGATTCGATCTCTTTGAATATTTTAAAAATAAAAAATAAATAACTACCTAAGGGAGAGTTTTCATTAACATCGCAACATTCCATTGAAATATACTTTTAAAATCTAAAATTTAAAAAATAATAATAATTGTGAAAAGTCTAAAATGGCACCTGAGATTTACTTTTCTAAAATTTCCAAGCCATTCAAGTGATTTGATTGATTTGATATCGATTTCCCTGTGTATATCAAGTGTTTAAAGTAAATTAGATAGTGCATTCAAGTTGACATATTGTTGCGACCAACAATCTTGCCCTGTTTTCATAAACAATTTTTTGCAACTGTTGTTCTTGTCCTTTCCCCATTTCTGGTTGTCCTACTCCGTTCCGCATGCACATATGTAACGTGAGCTGTACAAAACATTTGCATGTGTGCGCGCCTGTAAGCCGAGCAGTAAAGTAGCAGCCATGAGACCCGTTACACCATCCCCGCCGCTTTTCCAACCGCTCGCTCCCAGCTCTCAGTTTCCTACGCGGTTTTCATTGTCGTCTAGTTTGGGGTTTGCTCCTTTCTTTGCTTATGCGCTTCAAAGTTTTATTTGCCATTTTTGCGGGCTGCACTTTTTGTTTTCGTTTTCAGCGTGATTTTACAATAAAATAAAAACACACCGAAAACCCACTCGACCGGAGTTGCCGCTGCCGTGCCGCTTTCACTTTTATGGAGGCGAAGCTATTAAAGCATAAAATGGCAGCCCCACCCGGGTGTGTGAACAGGAAAGTTCCATAAAACTGCAGGCAGGGCGCCCTGTTGTGGAGCAGCTCCTCCGCTAATTTGTGGAAATTTTCATTTGATTCAGATTTAATTTTCTTGGAAATTCTGTATGCTTTTTTCAAGCTGCTAAATCACAGATCGGGCTTCGTCTCCAGGGCCTAGCCCATCCTTGGTCCATAAAGTGCTCTGCTGCTTCCGCTGGCCGCAGTCGCAGTTGCAGTTGCACTCGTGGTTGCTCTAATTTTTACAGCGCTTGCATGCGGCCGGAACATCCATTAGAACAATAACAAAACAAAGAGCAACAGAACCAGGGAAAGCCACAACAAGTGCATCTAAAAGATGCAGCCATTTTTTACCCACTTAAGTGGTCAGTGGGGGCAGAAGAGCAGAGTTTAGTCGTGCTCTCCATGAAATTGAAGTTTTCAATTAATTTTCAATACGAGTTGGAGGAGGAGCTGCAAAGTTTGCCGGCGGCAGCCAGCCAGCCAGCTAATAGAACAACATAAAAAGCAGCTAAGGAAAATAGTTTTAGCGGTCTCACCCACCCATTCTCAGAGCCCATGCCCATTGCTCTTCCTTATTGGCTTCAAAGTTCGAATGTGCCCGGTAATTGGCCGTCTGGAGTGGCCGCAAATTAACCAACGCCATCGCCGGCATTAGTGTCAAACCAAGTTATCTGCTAGACGCACTAACTCGAGGGCTTTGTGCTTGCAGCCTCGGAGTCGGTCAGTAAGCTCTTTCGTCAATCAGGCGGCTCTAAGTCCACGCCCTCCAAGTCGGCTCACGCGGACAAATCGGACGCCGTCTCGACCGCCTCGCTAACGCTCTCGCTGAGCTCCCTGGCTAGCAGCAATATGGAGCCACCGGAGCGCCAGCCCTCGATTGCGGAAACGCCAACGCCCGTGGAGGACTCCTTGTCGGCTACTGCCTCGCACACAGCCTCCACAGCCCTCATGATGGATGCCCCAGCAGAAGAGGCAGGAGGAAAGGAAGGTCTGGGCCCTGGAATGGACTACTCTAAGCCCGAGACACCGCAGATGCGAAGCACGCCCAACGGTGAGTTGGTGAGTTGCTCCTAGGAGCCACTAATTAGAAGCTTTATCTCCGCAGCTAATCCCTTTCTGGTGGAGAACTCCCCGCTTCGGCAGACAGTTGTGGGACGTGCCCTGATCAGCGTGAAAATTGGCAGCATTATGGAGCAGTCCTTGGTCTACTACACGGCTCGTCTGGTGGCAGCCCGATTCCTACTCAGCGGACAGGCAGCGGGTCTGCAGCCGGACAGTGTATGTAGGGTTTCCATCAAGAGCCTCTCGCTGGCCGTAATCGCACAGTGCGTGCGCCTGGCCCCTCGAGTGCTTCAGCTGACCGTAGAGATCAGCGATCAGGAGCTGCAGCTGCTGGAGCAGACCAGTTGCCACACCGAAAGTGGCGATAGCACTCAGGTTTCCAGTCCCCAGAGCAGCGATAATTCACAGGTAGGTGGGGAGAAGCAGAGGGTAGACAGTCCGTTGATGCAAACGGAAGTGGAGGACAACCTGCTCCTGCTGGACATCAAAGACGATCACTTTGGGGCCAGCACTTGCCCAGCTTACCTGCAGCAACCGGCACCCACACTTACTCGCAGTGCCGATGCTTCTGTTCTGCTACTGGGAGAAAGCTCTGCCTCCCAGCCTGCCAAGAACTCAGCCAAGGAAGACAAGCTGTCCAAGTCCGAGATCATTGGCAGCTCTTTTCGCCCCACGGTGGCAGTGGAGGACGTGCCGCCGTTGAGCCTGCCGCCGCGTCCCCCGAAGCGTACCAAGTCGACACGGAGTCGTACAGGTATCAATGGGGTGATGTCCACCGCAGGCAGTTCCCAGACACCCATCTGCCAGGCGCTTTCGGATGTTCTACTCTACCATGACCACTGTGATCCCATCTTACGCGGCGGCGTTCAGCAGGTAGTGGGTTTCTTTCTGCAATCCAGCGGAGCTGGTCTGTATCTGGAGCTGCAGCGTGGACTGGGTCTGCAACACTTGCTGGCCGTTTTGCTGAAGGTAAGTGCGTCGATAACAACGAACTCGATTTAAGCATAAAAAGTTGCGTAGCCACAAGGCAGGAGGAACTTCCTACCGGTACCTGGTTAATGTTAAGCCACATTACAAGCACGGCAGCCAGCTTTGTATATCTAGCGCCATATCTTAGTCTTAGAACGCCCACTTGCAATCCCTATTCCTGGCACTGTGTTCCTCCATTTCTCCCCCAATGTGTGCATAACGCATACGCCACGTTGTACGACAATATCTATTTACTTTACCCTTTGCAAAGCATGGGGAATTGGTAAGGAGATTAGGATTTGCTATGGAATACTAGTTGAAAAAAAATATTAAATTATTTTTAACATGATTATGTTATGGGGATTTATTAGAAAAAACCACTTTGATAAATCTAAAACTGTATAAAGGGCACATTAAATGTCAAGAGTATTCCAGTATCGCCTTTCCGGTACTGCAAATTGAGAGTAGTGTAGATTGCCCTCGTTTTCCCCCCTGCACAAACATTCTATATCTATAAATATGTGCCCCCACCTTTTCGCTGTACTTTTTTCTATGTTAAACCATCAAGCTAACATATTTTAACACATGCAGGAGGTACACACACACGCGGATACGGACACGTGTCCATATCAATGGCTGGTGCCTTTTGAATATTTTCAAGCTCTAAAGCCAGCTCCAGCCCAAGTCAGTAGCAGCTGGAGTCGGAGCTTGGCCGGCGGCATTTCGTGCGGTGGGTTGTTTTTCATTTGAAAATAAGAAAGAAAACCCTTATCGCCTTCGCAATGTGCAAGTGCAAATGCCCCTAAAGGGAGCAGCGCATCCGTTTCCATCTCGCTTTCTGCCCCATCCCGGGCGTGGACCGCCTCCTTCCGGTATGCAGAATGTGCGCATAAGTTGCACATTGATTTCTGTCTGGGGATTGGTCGTGGCAGTAAGTTGGGGCTCCGATGCCGGGCGGTTTCTTATTGAATTCAATAATTTAGTGGCCGGCAGCGAACATTTAAATTGCTGCTGGCTGCTGGCCTCCCCAAAAGTGCAATTTGATTATGCAATGTTGTTGCAGCGGGATGCATGCGCAGAATGGGGAACCGGAAAGCGGGTCAGAATAGGACGCAGGACGTGCTGGCTGAAAATCACATTAGATGCCTGCTACATAATGGCTGCAAATCCGTCTCAATGGCACTTGCCAGCATACCAAAATTGGAGCCAAAAAGGGATAGCTAGGCGGCAGGATCTTCCCTGGAGCCGGGCAAGCCAAACCGGGGCCAAAGGCAAAGCAACTTTGATAACAATAGCCCTTTGGCCCGGTCTGGAGCAAGGAAAAGCTTGTTAGGGATTCGTTAAAAATGCACACACTCTCAGATGGATGCCGGATGTGGAGGGAGGGGCGAGCAGAGACCCGAGAGCTAGCCACTGTGTGATTGTGGAAAACTTTTTGCTTGTGCAAACAATAAAACACAAATTCGCTTAGCCAACGTCTCGCTTCGTCTCTCGCAGCCATCTTATGCCTGGTCTTGAGGCCCTGTATAAAGAAATTTAGCCAAAAACTTTTTGCTCTTCTCCACTTATTTCAGGGCTTTGAGGACGAGATCCACACAGTGGTTATACAAGCGTTGAATGCATTCGATAAGATATTTCCGCATGTGGTGTCCAAATATTTGACAGAGCCGCCATGTCATTATCATGCTCATCAGCAGCAGAAGCAGAAGCAGCAGGAGCAACAGCAGGACGACCAGGACCTGCAACGACATTCAAGTGGACAACAAAAGCGTCCGGGCCAGGCGCAAACATTTGGCCAACAAACTTTTGCAAAGGACCAGGATAATGCCTTAAGCAGTCAACGGCCGCAACAAAAGCGTCCTAACGATGCCGGGACATGTGCCAAGTCCTCGGCCACAGATAATGATGAGCTACTGGCTGCTCTTTTGAATGATTTCCAATTGCAATCGACTGGCATGCAGCAGCAGCAGCAGCAACAGCAAAAGAATAATGGCAACGGCAGTGGGCAGTTGGGTAATGAGCCCGAACCGTTCTGTGTGTTTGCCATCTCACCCAAATTGCTCTTGAGCAAACTCCGGCTCTGCCATCACAATAAATATTGGCTGGTCCAGAATAAATACGCCGAAGTTATTTCGAATTTAAATTACGTGCTGCTGCGGTCGTACTACGCAAATTTTCGTTGTGGCCTCGACAGCAATAACACCAGCGCCGAGCCGGAGGAGCAGCAGTCGCACTCGACGAAGGAAGCCAGCGATTCCGGATGCGGAAGGCTGGAGAGCGAGGACATTGTCTGCACTTATGAGGTAAGCAGCTAAATCGTCTTATTACAACCGGGCCCGCTGGCAGACCGCCGCTCGCCGGCTTGTTTATTGTGCAGATTATTTTACGAGTGTGTTTTCGCCCTGCTCCAACGTGCCCCAGAATCCTCGAAAGCAATTCGAGTGCCGGGCGCTGCTCTGACAACTCTTATTGAACATTTGTGCACTCAAGTGTGTGGCCGGGCTCTTTGTGCATTCTGCAGGAGACTGCGGAGCGCATCCTGCCGAATGCCTCAGCCACTGACGGACCGTCTGACAGGCTACCCCTTTGGGGCTCCGGGGGGAGTTTTTGTGACGCTCGCACATATATTTGTTTATTTATTATTTTGACAAAGCTAAGCAATTTGCTAAATGGCACAGAGAGAGGGAGAGAACGTACATCAGCTCGAGAGTCGACAAACAATTGAGGCAAAAGACGATTGACGGCTCAAACTGAATGCCAAAGAAATGTAATAGCATGAAAAGTGCTCGACTGGTGTGTCTACTCTCTCCTCAAATGATAATGCTTCCCATGTGGGGATTTCAGTATTAGTTGTTTTCATAAAGTTCTAGGGTTTCTGTGTAGAATTTTGCAGAAATCATATTAAAAATATTACTTTTGAATTGAACCAGCTAAGCGCAGTCTCTCTTTAATAGAATTTTATGTTTTGAAATACAAAAAAATATTAATCAAAATAAATAAATAATTTAATAAAAATATATACTATATAAGAGGGATCAAAATCCTAAGACAAAAACTCCAAATCTATTTTCATCCCACAAACTGTTTCTTCAAGTGTTTTGATTGCTCTACCTTCAGTTCAAAATCGGCGAAGCAAACCACGTCTGCCTGGGCATTCGAAACTGCCAAACTGCATAATGAAAACTTGGCTCACTTTTTGATTTACAACACTTTGCTCTACCTGCCCCTCCTGCAGGCACAGTTCCTGGCTGAACTTTTACATCTGCTCGGCGACGATGATGCGCGGGTGCGGGAACATGCCGCCTGCTGTCTTTGCCGGTTTATAATGCAAACGGCGCGCCAGGAGCAACTGGCAACCGACTGGGATGAGGATGAGGGATGCGAGATCGAAGGCAATGGCAACGGGAATGGCAACGTCAACGTGGAAACTCAACAAACTAATTTCAATTTGCTGTGGGATTTTTTCGACTATCGCATATTTGGCAGCATGTCCGTGACGTTGCGTAATTTATTCCGGGCCAGTTCGACGATTGTGCCTCCGTTGGCGGAGCTGGATGCACTGCCCTCCACGGCCTCCGCCTGCCCGGAGGCTGGCATCACGTCCATGATGGGAAGCAGCTCCTCCTGCCCCTTAGGATCGGCAGCCGAAGCGGCAGCCTTCGCGGCGTCGGCCTACTTCGATGGCAGTTACGGCACCGGCATAGCTGAGGGGCATGTTTTTGCCCTGGCGGGCCAACGTCAAATCGCGCTGGAGGAAAAAGTTTTGGCCAAAGTTTTGTATCGCTTGACAAATAAATTGATGACGCTGAATGATAAAAATTTGCAGGTAAATATTTGTGTGCCAGCCACATCCACCAATCGAATCGAACTCGGTCGAAACTAAATCGAACCGGCCGGCTCCCGGCAACAACTCCATCCACCCTCATCCTGTTTTCCCTTTGCAGTTTGGAATAATTTACGCGCTGCGCCTCCTGCTCAGGCACTTCAATTTCGTGGACTATCAACAGGCCTGGGTGGAATTCAATTTCGTAGAAATTTGCATTAGCCATGCCTACTACAACAATGCAACGGCGGCGGACCTCAGTTGCCAGAACGATTTGATTGATGTGATGGGCAAATTAATGGCAGGTGAGTGGAGGGGCCTCCGATCGTTGCCCTGGTTTACTATGTTATTTCCTCGTGCGTAAGCCCCATAAATATTTTAATAGTAATGGCAGACATTCACGTCCATACCACATTTGTGCATTCCTGCGCGCCTGACTGGGCTCCTGATATTTCCGATATTTATTGGAATTGTTCCGACCATTGGCCGGTGCTTTGCGGCTCGTTTGGCTAATTTAATTTAACTGAAATTACAAAAACTGTAATTTCTGGTCTCAGACTGCATATTTAATTGCATTATGCTGTAATGAATGCCGTGGAAACGTTTGCATAAATCATTTTAATTAATTGTTTGTCATTAAATAGATTTGCATAAATATTTTCATGCTGCTGCGGTGTAAGTGACTGAGCGTAGTCTATTTTTTTGTAGTAGCTATTATTTTTAAATTTAATCAAGAATAACGAGAAATTAGCATAAATGTTTTTAAATTTCCGTTTCACTAAAAGTATATGTACTGCCGAAAAAAAAACGGAAATAAAAAGTTGGGAAATCCAAGCTCATTTGTGAAAATGGTCGATTATAAAATACACTATAACCAGGATTTTGTATAAGTAATTCACTGCATGGTTCCATTGTTTTGCGGAGCATAAGTTCTTTTTTCCTTGTGTTCAAATTAAAATCAATGACTATTTCGGCATTTTTTATACAAAATTCTAAATATAACACAGTTTTCATTTGGAAACTAATGCAACTAAAAAGCTTAATAGCACCAAAGCATACTCCGAATTCACTAAAATGTGGCTGATTATATTTAATTCAATAGTTTTCAACAGGGCCATTAACAAAGTGCATCTAAAAAAGCACCAACAACTGTAACAACATCAACAACAGCGTCCGCGGCTGTAGTAATGCGCAGCTAGTGCGCTAATAAACATTTCAATTCAATTTACAAAAATGTTTATAGCACGCAGCGCAAAAAAGCAAACAGAAAACCAAACTTCAACTCAATTTCATTAGTGCCATTTCACGCGACCGCCATGACCAGAAGGGACCGAGCCCCCTCCAGGATCGGTCGACATGCATTAGGATGCTATAAATTTAGGGACATTGCGGCGAGGCCTGGGGAGGGGCAGTGGCGACAGGCTCTTTATTATTTATCATGCCAGCCGCGTATTTGCTATGCGCTAATGTAATCCACCATAATCAAAAAGTAATTAAATTATTAATAAACCATTAAATGTTAAACAATTTTTGTGTCAGCGGCGACGGCTGCCCCACTCCCACTCCTACCCCACCCCCAACCTGCGATTACAATTTGCATTGCATTTGCATTGGCGCAGCGGGCATGCGGCGCACACATTGAACAATTTAATATTTAAGCCGTGTGTGCTTACCGGGCTGTGCGTGTGTGTGGCGTATGTGTGCCTGGGCATATCTGGACATCGATTTGAAAACAAAATCACCAAATGTTTTCCGACACTCTCGCGTGCGCTTCGTGATAAGTTTTGACAGTTGCCAAAATGTATGCAAATAGTTGCAATTCATGCCCAGAACCAAAACAAACAGCCAGCGAGAATCCTTTAATTGTGGCCTGAGTAAATTCACAGTTCGCCGATGGCTTAAAGCCACCGAACAACCTGCATCGTTGCGTTATAAGCTGCCTATCATGTCCAGCTTAATTCCTTCATTTAACGAGAGCAATCGGCGTGGAATTTCGAAATTTTGAAAAAAACTAAACAAGAATGTAGTTGTATTAATTATGAAAGGTTAACACACCTGGCTTAGCGTTTCATTAATCCAAATCTCACCTGTGTCCGGTAGTTCAATCCATCTGCTGTCATATATACCTTTCCGTGCCATAATCGAACGTTGTCCTGGCGCCAAAGCGAAGCAAATAAAAACTGAAATGGGCGATAAATAAATATAAATTGGTAGCGGAAGAATGGCGTCGTCTCATTGCGATTGTGTGCGCAATTTTCAATTAATTAGTAAATGTAATGCAAACTGCGAGTCGGGGCATCCGCTGGCATCCACTTGCCCATTGTGGCCCCAAAGGGGTTCTTTAAATGGCTCCCTTAACACTTAATTTTTATAAATATTTATGCGCATACAATTTAATTTATTTGTAAATAATAATTTTTTTGCATCGGCATTTCCTCTTTGCCACGCTGGCAACACAAATTTATATTGCTTATTGCCGCTGAACGTTGCATTGTTGACACACAAATTGAAATGTTGCGTGTCTCCCCATTACACACACACACACACAGCAATTAATGCGTATAAATCATAGCATACTTTGAAGCGTTTTCCGCTTGTTACCTATGCAATTTTTGTTTTAATTTCACATTATTCTCCTCAGTTCTCAGTGAATTTCCATACCAGCAAACCAATTGCAAATCCATTAATGCGATTTTAATTTTGAGAGCTGCAATTACGTAGCATTTGTATAATTTTAAGTGCTCGTTTGCATTGCAAGCCAATTAGCCGAGACGGGATCTCTTAATTTGCGATTAAAAAAGCCTCCAATCCGCAAATCTATCCGCTTCCAGGTGCCATGTTGAGCTCTGGTGAGCCGAGGACTCCCCACCTGGACTTTCTGCTGCGTCACAGCCTCAAGATGCTGAACATCTACTACCACCTGGTCACCAATCAGCGCCCGCCCTCCGGCTCGCACTCAGCCAGCTCGAAGGCGCCCAAGAGCGAGCTCTTCGCCCGGGAGCAGCCCGGGGCAGCAGCCCTCCAGGCTCTGGGTTACTTTGCTGGCGATTACGTTTACATGAAACTTTACAACATTTTAAGAGGTGCTAATGACAGCTACAAGGTAAGTCAAGCCACGGACTCGCAGACCCGCACACTCGCGGATTCACAGATTCAGCGGGAGCCACCGCCATTAAGTCGCTGGTGGCGCCGAAATGGCAAAAGTTGCGCGGCACGTGCACTGAGATTTCCCGGGTACCCAGCTTCAGATTCGACTCCGTCTCCATCTCCATCTCCTGCTGCAGCCCCCATCTCCTTTAAGGATCTAGATGCACGTACAGCGCAATGCGCCGTTTTATATGCAACACTTTCTGCCGGTGCCACCACCGCCTCCGCAATGAGTTGTAAAAATTCAACCCGCGACGAAATGCAGCCAGCGTAGCATCCTCACTTGACTTTTGCCACTCGCAGCTCAAACAGAAACTTCTTCGCGCTGACTGACTTAATGTGCGGGTTGCATTAGGCCACCGTCCCGCCCCCTCCATCCTAATGCCTTATGCAACTCTTTTTTGTTTCTCCTCCTCGCAGATAACCATAAATCACGAGGCCGGCAGCTTATTAATTTGTCTCCTGAAGACTTGCCTCAACGCATTGAGCCTGTGCCTGGAGTTCCTGCCGAGTGCCTCGCCCCCGGAGCTAAAATTAATCGAAGAAATACTCCACTATTTGACCAAGCTCATAAATTATGCGCCGGCCGAGTGCGTTGCATGTCTGCGGCAACTGTTGAAATATTTATTCGCCCAAAATTATGCCAGCCAAGTGCGGGTGCAGCCGTCGGCCACCGGTGGCCACCATGCCGCCTTCACGCGGCCCTACTTTGTGGCCAAGGGCAGGGGTCATGGCGCCGTCTCCACATTGTTGCCAACAATAAATTCAAAACCGGAGCACGGAGCAGGAGGAGGAGCTGCCCGACAACCAATTGATACTGCCCCACTCCAAGCCCTGGGCATGCTCTTTGTGCGTGGCCTGCAGCCGCCCACACCTCCGGCGGGAGAGTGCGCCAGGCTTATAAAGCTATTCGAGCCGCTGGTCATCTACTGTCTAACGGTGAGTACACTCTAAAAAAATGCTTTATTTGGTTAGATTAATTAAGGGAAAATTATATTAGAGTTATGGATAAGTAAATTGTAAAATGGTGTGGATAAATATGATTTTATTTGAAGCAAAACATTTAAAAATTTAAATCTAAGCCAAGTATTTGTGCAAGTGTTGTGACTACCAGCGATGGCTAATTAATTTTAGTTGTAGCCAATTTGTTTGATTAAAAATGCACATACACGAAGGCCAGGCGACCTGGGGAAAAGTCCTTAATCTGTTACGTGTGTGAGTGAGTGCATCCATTGATATTTTATTAATGGCGAACATGGGCAGAGCCCTAGTATTCCCTTATGTAACATAATTCCCTTACTCTGCTCCTGCCCTCTTCAGCTCTTCATGAAGTCCAATGCTCTGATTCAGGCGCCCATTTTGCGACTGCTCTCCCAGCTGCTGGAGCTTAATGTAACCTACAGCATATTGGATTCCAAGAATGTAATATTTGAGCAAATACTAAACAACATGGAACTGATAGAAGGAGGAATCGATAGGTGAGTTCAACTTTAGCAGAATAATTTCATAAGTGGATAAAAACTTTCATTAAATATTTCTTTAAGCTTTTAAGAGCTCCTTAAGACCTTTAAGCTCAGACATAGTTTCCATTCTAGGAACGCCTTCATCATTGTTCCACCCATGCTAAGATTCCTGGTGCAGCTGACGCACAAGAGCGACCGGCAACTGATCACCATACCCAAGATCATCAGCATTACCAACAATCTTCTGGCCAGTAGCTCCGTACGCGAGGTGGCCCTGCTGGCTCTCAGAACCTTGAGTTACGAGTTATTCTTCATGCACAGCCAGCTGGAGGAGGCACTGGACACCGACAGCGGTCATAATTCAGGCCGGACGGCTTGCCAGAGCCCGTTGAGTGCTGCACCCACGCCGGAAACCAGGGAGGCCTTGCTGGCGCAGCGACGCGAACTCGACACGCAACGGGAAGTGGTGCTGGGCATGCTGGAGAAGTTTATCGAGGCCCGGCCGAGCCAACAGGTGCTGGCCTTACTGCTCTTATTTGAGCGGAGCGTAGAGCAACTGGAGGAGGCGCCGTATCGCAGCGCCCAGGATGCGGACACCGTGTACGGGATTCTTTGTCGAGGTCTCTGTTCGCGGCAGTGGCGCCTGCACTCAGGCGGAGATCTGCGGCTGCTGGAAAGCTGCTTCCGCAACAACGGCAACCATGTGCTGGCCGACAGCAAGGGATTCCTGCAGTTGCTGCAGCTGTTCATCGAGCAGGTGGGTTAAATATGCAGTGGCCTAGGACTTGACAAAGCACTCAGCCAATTCACAGCTGCCCGTCAGTGCCTCAATTATGGCATGCATTAAGACGACTCTAGCAGATCCACCCCTGTCTGTCTTTCTGTCTGTCTGTCCGTTTGGTTTCGATTGAACTCATAAATATGCGCCAGGCCTGCTTAAATATACATGCCCACACACACTTGGAGGCGTCAGGCAATTTGCAATATTTATGAATGCAGACAGAAACTTAAAATCCAGCTCGACATGCAAATGAACATTAAGCCGTCTATCAGTCGCCAGTTTGGCAGACTGCCAATTGCAAATGACATATGAATGTAATGATGTCCTCCTGGCCTCCCGAGAAGGTGTCAACCGGGCGTGCCTGGCATCCACTTAATAATATAATTGAAGTAATGCCACAAATTAGAACACTCTCAGTTTGGCAACGATGGCCGTGCGACTTAACTGGTACTTAGGCCAACGCCTGCAGTTGCATAAATTGATCTCGTTGACATTAAATGGAAGCGCCGGCATATGTTTTGTGTTCGGTTCAAAGATGACAGACAATTGTCCTGCTGGATGGCTCATCAAGTTACATTCACAGCACCATCAAAGAGTCAGTGCTCAAAGGGTTTTAGTGTTGTCCAAGGCAACTGTGGGGTGGCTTTGAGCTGGCGAGCAATTCAACGATTTGTCATTACCTGTCCGTCCAACCCTTTGCATTTACATACACACGAATGCACTTAGTTGCAGTTACGGGGCAATTTTTTATTTCGCCGTATTGTTCCCCGTGTTGTTACTGTTTGCCAGTGCCCGGGTACACGGGCTCTGATCCATGTGGCGCTGTAGTTAATGTGGCACATGTCGTATACGTGACATTTTTAATACCTACGCTTCAACGCCGCACATTTTCAACTATTAATGCGCATTTAAGCTACACATGCATTAACTGTCGGGCTGCCTGCCAGCCAGCCAGCCAGCTAGAGCTTCTCGTGCAGCCACGCCTTCCTCCTCATTCCCATCCCCATCTCCCCCTCCCCCCACTACTTAGCCCGTTCAGACCAGTCAACCGTTATGCTACAGTTAAAACCAACTTAATTACACAGTCTCCCTGGCACAGCCGGGCGTGTGTTGATGCCGGCGCTCTCGGGTTGGTGGGTGTGTGTGTTTGTGAGCCCACTTGTCGACGTCGTAGGCAGTCAATTGCATGTGAAGACTCCGTGCATCCACCTGTCTAACGCCGTTGGCCGGTGGTCACTCCCAAGTCACCTCCCCATATCCGTTCGTATTAATGGCGACCTGACACTTTACTGCCGCCGGCAAATTCAACTTCATTTAACTTGTGAGTTATGCGCAAAGCTTAAAAACTTTAACTAATTATCGTTTATTTAATTTGGACACATAAAAAGCGGAGGCGGCAGGGAAATTAACAGACTTTTACGCAGTCTCCGTCGCTCAGGTGGCATGAGTAATTAAGTTTGGCCTTCCATGTTTATAAGCGTATTTATGTGGGCTATGGGATGCAGGCATGTGACTAGTTGACGGCAGCAGCGTTTTAATTGAAATTGAAATTGCGCCGCAACTTAAATAGCATTCTGCGTGTAAACATTGACTCGAGGAGGCACGAAAAAAGCTTATTTAAAAGGCACCACAGAGGCGCAAATGGAATTGCCGTCCGTCCGACACACACGTGCAGGATGGGCATGTTGAAGCTATTGCTGACGGGGACTCCCTTCTAATTACTGCCGGAAAATATGTTGATGTTGGCTATGGTGCAACTTTGTCACACAAATTTATGCAAAGTTTCACACTTTACTGCACTGGCGGTCAACAACGAAAGGAGTCATCAGCATCAGCCAACGAACTTACTCCTCTCCTTTCTCCCTTCTCCTTGCAGAGCGTCGGCAACTTTGGTGATTTAGCCCTGGCCATGGTTATACTGGCCAACGTAATCCTGAAGACCGAGGAAATTTATTTAGTGAATCACATAAAACTTTATTTGAAAAATAATCCAACTGCCGAGCGGCGGCTGCAGGCTTTATTGCCCGCCACATCGGCCACTCCTCCGTCATGGCAGGACGAGGCGCCATCGACATCTTCGGCGGCTGCAGCTGCCAGAGCCGCCGCCGCTGCAGCCTCCTCCTCCACCGGCCGTGCAGCCATCAGTGAGATTAACTATTTCGCCAAGGTCCTAAGTGAGAAGCTGCTCGCCTGTCTGGATGCCCTGCTCGGAGGGGCCACATCCTCAGACTCAACTGCTTTGGATCACGCCTACTGCCTGCTAGCCGGGCGCTTTGTCGATGCCCTGAACAATGTCTGCTGCCGCTCACGGCACAAGGATGCACTTCAATCAGTTTTCCGCTTGGTTTTGGCCGAGTCTGAATTTCTTTGCAAATACTACAGCCTGCTGTTGATGAGTGCCGCCGGCCAGGGTGGATCTGGCTCGTTGGATGCCTTGCTGCTGGCCTGCATGAGGCTGACTCTGGCCATGAGGCTGGAGGAGCCGGTGGTACTGCTAGGGCAGGCGGCCCAGCTGCCTTTGAAACGGAACCTGCAGAGGGCGTTGTTGCGCGAAGTTTGTGGCGCCAATGTGGTAAGTGCACTGTAAATAATACTTACAAGTAAACAGAATTCATTTACTATTTATATTTACCAATATTTTAATTGGTATTTGATGATATTTTCATAATATAATTATTTTTACGTAAACCAATTATCCACTTTTGAAGAAAACAATTATGAATTCATCTTCTAATGTCTACAGAATGTTTTATAATTCGAAAATTCAATTTTTGCTCTGTGCAAATGAGTAGAGAGAAGTGGGCTGGAGTAATGGCGGATCAGACACATTAGTTTAGTTTGAATTTGGCAGACGACGCCGGTGTTGGGCCGCACCAGTCCCTCCAGCTCCTCCCGGATGTCCCCGCTATTTACAACACTGCGAATTTTTCCAGCTGACAGTTGTCGCACTCGCAATTTTGCGGTTCACCGCATCGGGTTTTCGGTTTTCGGTCTCGGCTCTCGGCTCAGAGCCTTTAAACGGTCGGCTTACTTTAAGCACAGTTCACTGGTTCATTGGCGGGCATAATTTTAATTGATTGCCACTCGAGCATGCGCCACTTGTTGGCTAATGGCCCGCGCCCGGACCAAATCACAATTGTCCACTAATTGCAGGGCTGCGACTGGAGTGCGCAACAAGTGCGCCGGCTGTTCGACGGCAGGTATCTGAATTTCCTAATTGCTGACCACTTGGAATTCCTCTGCGAGCTGTGCCAAGAGCGCCCCGAGTGCGGCTCATTACTGCAGGTGGCTCTGCTCCAGAACGCGCATCGCTTGAGCCGGGTAAGTTGCGAAAGACTTTTGCATAACAAAGCCAGCTCCCCAGCTTTTGTGAGTGTCCCTTCATGCGTCCTGCTTCTCTCGCCCATGCAGCAATCCATCCGCATCGTCCTTCGGCTATTGGGACGTCTTTGTGAGTCCGCGGAACAAAATGCCTCGGGAGACGCCGGAGGAGATGCTGGGCCCGTGCTGCAGGCCCTGCAGTTGTTGAGTCGCCTGCACCAGCTGCACGACGGACAGCGCTCGCTGCAGCTGCCCATGGAGCGGATGGCGCGGCGACTGACCGCCCAGAGCGGGCCTGTCGCCAGGAACGACATCTACGAACGGCTCGTGGAGGGAGACCTGGCCGGGGGCGAGGACCAGGACGCCCTGCGAACGCTGCTGTAAGTAATACCCTTGCAATTATTCATCGAAAGCATGCCAATTTATATTCAGATGATTACATAGATTTAAGCTAGGGTGGGTCGCTTTGTAAAGATGGAAAGTCTTTATATTTAGTCATTTTGAATTGGTTTTAAATCTGAATCGTAGGAAATCTGTCTACAAATCTACAAATTTTAAATCTGAATAATCGTAAGAAATCTCTATAAAAATCTGAAAAAAGAAAATAATTTCCTACATTTCAAAATGTAATATGTACTATAAAACAAAGCTTTCATATCGACGCACCCTTTTGAATGTTGCTACCTTTCCTTGAAACCTGAGCACCCACTAAAAGCAAGCCGAAGAGTGCTCCAAGTTCGGATCAGCAGACTCTCTCATTATCCCTTGATGCCTTTATTTATGTTTCATTGCTCCGCATCGCAGGCTAAAGGACTTGGAGTGCCGCCAGGACAATGAGACTGCAACGCCGTCGCGCATAATTGATGAGAGCTGGCTCTTTGCGGAGGTAAATGGGACAAGCACTTGGCCATTATGGCACTGCCACAGCTAATTTGTTGTTTTTTCCTTTTCCATTTCCCCCATTCCATTTCCAATGTCCTCCTCCTTTGACGACTCCCAGCTAATCAGGTTCGCCACCCAACATGCGGATGCCCCGCAACAGCAGAAACAACTGATGCTTCTCCTCCTGGAGATCCAGTCGGAGCCAAAGCTCAACCGCCTGCTCCGGAGTCTGGGGGCCGAGCAGGAGGCTCGGCTATTGCGCCACGCCATCGCTGGCTCCCTAACCGCTATGCTGTCCGACTTTCAGCAGAAGTGCATCCAACATGCACCGCACATCAACTACATGCAACCGCCGCCGCTGGCACGAGTGTCCTGCTCCTTGCTCCTGGCGAAAGTGGTTTCGATAACGGCGTCCGAATCCCGGGCACCACCCACCGTCGTGCAGCTGGATGTGGCCCGGGCGGTGGCCACGTTGATGGCCTGTATACGGAATGTGGAAAAAAAGGCGCTCATTTACATAGATGCCCGGCTGATGGAGAAGTTCGTGGGCGAACACCTGCTGCGCCAGGAGCATCTGCCGCCGTTGATGGCCTACCTCGGCTGGCTGGCCGGGGCGGCCAAGCAGATTTTGGCCAAGCCAACGCGACAGGACTCGGAACAAGACGCCCTGGGCGTGCTGCTGGCCACCGTGGATGCACTCCTGCTGCAACCGCCCGTCTGGAGGGAGTTAAATGCCTGTTCGGATGCCGGACTGCGGTGCGAGCTGCTCGAGCTTCTGGGCTCGGTGGCTCGCTGCATTCTCCAGGATACCATTTTCTATCAGCGACATCGGCTGGACAGAGGCGGTAGCGCGTTCAAGGGACCAGCACCGCAGGCGATTTTCCTGGCAAAATTGATTGAAACGCAAATTGATATCGAGTCTCTGGACAACTGCAGGGTCTTGGCAGGCGGCGAGGATGCTCGTCTGCAGTTTGTGGGCCAGGAACTGGCCCAGGTCCAAGTACCATTGGTAAGTGACATTGGGGGCTGGTCATTTGTCAGGCTGACCCAGTCTCTTTATTTTCCCTTTCCTCTCCTCCAGTCGCTGGTGGCCTCCATTGGTACTTCGCTGCTACGCACACATCACTTTTATGCCTACGCGGTGACTCCGCCCGAGCTTATCCAGCAGCAGCCAGAGGAACAGCTGCAGCAGCAGAAGCAACAGGCCGATGGCAAGTTGCCCACCATACCCGTGGACAGTCTGAGCGATGTGGATATCCTGCGACAATTTGTCAAGCGGTGAGTTGTGAGAAGGAGGAATGTACCTCGAGGAGAGTGATTAAATTTAAGGCTGCGCCCCTCCGATAAATTTCCAATGAAGGGAATATTCAGTTTATCCTTATTACTGTCCACTATTATTTAGAAGCCACAGCCTTAATTAAACACCAAATAAGGCAAAGCATCCTCCTATAGAGCTCGAGGAATATCCTAATATCTACCTAATTAAATCAGCTTATTTTCGAGGTTCCGTGTTAAACCCGTCGGGTTATGATTTCGTCACCTTGCCCCTTAGGCGCCATTGTCCGACTGGTCAACTGTCGCTTCCCTTATCAACTGACCAGGCTCTGATGCATTGTGTTTGCTGCTCATCCTCCTGCTGCTCCTACTGCGGCTGTTGCTGGTCTTGGTGTCGCTCCTGTCGTTGTCATTGTGTCCGGCAGCAACAGCAACAACAACAAAGTTGCTGACAATGCTCTGACAGCGTTGACGAGCGCATGGCAGCTACATGGAGCGATGATGAGGACTGCGACGGCAACGAGTATGGCTAAACCGCAACTGGAAACATCAACATCCTGTTGTTCTATTACAAACACAAGCACGCAAACAACCCACACTCACACACATATGTATGTATATGTATGTAGGAGTGCGAGCCGTAAGACTTCATTGTCATCGTCATTGTCCTTGGCTTGTTTGCCTCGTCCTTGTCACTTGACAGGCTCCCCGGCACGCCGGTATGGCCATTGCTGTTCCATTGTTTCGATGGCAGTCGTCATCATTACGCTGTCAGCCGAAAGCTGATGCTGAATCGTCATCAGCCAGGAATTGGGCGGAATAATTGTACACGACTAGATGTCCATGGCCTGAAACTTGACTTCCCGCAAAGTATGCATACTTGCACTCAAACTCCAACTCGCAGGCACTCTCGCACTTTGGCATCCCAGCCCGCGCCACTGAGCCAATCCATTTTTGGCTGTTGGCGGACCGACAAGAGCGCAAACATCAAAACCACATCAGCAGGGATGCTGGCAAGCAGCTCAGCGCAGCGAGGAAGGCTGCGAGGATGATAACGACAAAATCCCCCAAAGGGCTGACGGAGCGGAACATCAACAACTCTATTAGACGAAACTCTGTGCAGGATCAGCATCAGCATCACCAGCAGCAACAGCAACAGCAATGGCGACGGCAACAGCATCAGCATCAGCATAGACATGCATTTTTGCCAAAGGGGGCTGGGCTAAAAGCCGCCGGTTGGGGGCTAAGAGCTGGCTAAAAGACAGCAGCACGGCAGGAAGAACCGCCGTCGAGGCAGCGAGCGATATAAACAAATTATGAGCAGCAAAGTGAGATAAATGCATGTGTGCGTGTTGCAGATGGCTGCCAACAAAAGGCACGTCACGCAGGGATATGGATCAGGATGTGGATGTGGATGCGGATGCGGATGCGGACGGCTGCCTTTAGCTCCAGAAACATTGTTGCTAATTGCACAGAAACCACTACGATGCAGCACCCCGGGCTCCACTGGATGGAGCTGCTGCTACTACTGCTGCATCACTGGCTCCGGCCTAAAGTAATCGAAGACTAATTGACATTTTAGGCCTCCTACATGCATACCTATATGTACATATATTGCATATTTTAAATATTTCAAGAGACCGGACTAATTGAATTAAAATTTCAAGCATTTGCTGAAAACATTTTATGCAGAAATTTCAATTTCCAATTAATTACATACACACTCACACACTCTCACGCCCTGCTTCCGGTAATTAAATTGACACTTATAGCCACTTTCGTCTATTCTCGGTTGCAGGCTCTCAATATTGGGCTTCACCACACGGCAGCAGTTCGAGGAATACTTCATGACCTGCCTGCTGCTGATCAACCAGCTGTACGACGAGCACATGGTCGATCAGCAGGAGCAGTTCCAGATCAAGCAGGTCTGCCTGCAGGCCATCCTCGAACTTTTAATGACGTACAAAACTTTTCCCATTGTGGGCCAGGCCAATGGACAGTTCCATCACACGACTCGCTGGCAGCGCATCACTTGTGACAGCATTAGGTGAGTTCTTGTTCCTCTTCCCGTTGGACGATGGTGGTGCTCCCCTGGATAGCGTGCTTGTTGTTGCCACACAGCCAGGCAGAAATTTATGAAAATTAAAATTCAGAGCGCAGTGGGAAAAGTTTTTAATGTGTAAATGGCAAAAAGTACAAATTAAATGCGAACGGCAAAAGTTGAGTCTGTGAATGAGCGTGTAGGTCCTGATTTTGTTGTGCTCATATTATATCGTCCCTCCGTCCGTCCGAAAAAAACCTTCAACTTTAAATGCACAACTAATTTGTTAACATGGGAGCGGCCAAAAACAATTTGGTGAACAAGTTTTCGGATGCTTTTACAATGTCTGCGCTTTTAATTAAAAGCGACAAAAAGTCTTTGTCGGAGCGACCACGATATTGCATATATGGCGTGACGTGAGCACATGAATTATGAAAACAATTTTAAAAGTTAACGAGTGCCAAACTCTTTTTTCATGTCTCGTGGTCGACGCGATTCAATTGCCAGCAGAGAGCTGGCAGTAAAAAAGCCAAGCACCGAACGTAGCTGAAATATCAAAAACTCTGTTGACAACCCCTAGGAAATTTGTGGAGCACACATATTTTTCGAATTAGCTGACCAGAGATTGCTTTTATATACGATGCTGCTGTTGCTGCTGGGTAACACGAGACTCTCTGGCAAATACTTGCTCCAATGTTGACTTTATAAATTTGTTTTTAATTACAAGCAAATATGTGTGTAGCTTCCCCAGCCTTTCTTGTTGCCCCGTCAACAGTGCGTATACGTTATTTAACAGGGCCCGCCTTATCGCCCCGGACAACCCGACGTTTTTCCCATACATCCATCAGTTTTGAACTCGTTTTTTTTATTGCCCGCAGCCTGAAGAAACTGCACAAGGTGCAGCTGCTGGTGGACGCGTGCAGTGTCTTCTATCAGCCCAATCTGGAGCGGCAGCTGGCCCACGACAATGTGATTGGCACACGCACCTTTGCGGCCAATCAATACGATCTCAATTTCAGCTGGGCCCAGATGGAGGCCCATGCGGGCGGGGGCATGGGAACGGGAGAGGAGGCGGCCTCAGACATTAAGCAGTCCTGCGATTCGGATGTGCCTGACATGGCAATGCGCAACTATCGCCATTTTACGCAGCTGTCGGGAATTGACTTTCGCAGCAGCACGCAGCTGGTCTTTGACGTACTGCAGCAGATGATCGAGGTAAGTCCGCCGGCGAGTTCGGCCGCCTGTCAAACTTTTGCGACTGTCACGTCCCGCGCATTGCCTGCACTCGTCGCACACGGGCATAGGCCTTGCATTCAGGCTGTCAGGGCAGCCAGTGCGTATGAGCGATCCTTGGGGGCTGGCGGCGTGACTCTTGATTTGGCACTGATTTAATTTTGCAACTGCAACTTGCCATAACTCTTTCGCAATTTCCTCTTCCTGTTTCTATTTCTGGTCGGACTGACAGCTGAATCACATGCTAGTGCTGCCCAATTTGGTAAAGTTTTGCGAGATCTGCGAGAGTCGCGACCACATCAAGTGGATTAAAGAGCGTTGCCTTAAACTGCAGGAGCAAGTGGCCATGGATGATACAATTTCACATCAGGTAAGTAAACTGCACTTGGAATAAATGCAGTGAAAGAAATATAAATATTTCAACAATATTTGCAAGTGCTTCTCCTTATTTCTTACTTTTTATGATTAAAAATTAAGTTATCTACAGAAAGGGTTAAAAAAACTACCTCTTTCATTTATTTACTTTTATTTAGAACCTTTAAATTTTAAATATTTAATATTTTAATATATTATATAGTTTTCAGTGTATTTCTTTGCCATTTTCTATTGTTTTCGATGCTAATGTTCTCTGCATTCTCCAGCACATAATCTACTTACTGTGCCGCAGTCAGGCCCTCCTCATACCCAGCCTGGGCGAACTGCAGGCACTGTGCTCCCTGATTGGCAACGTCTACTTGAAGAGCACGCACGGCTTCATACGCATCGCCACGCTGCAGGGGCTGCTCTGCCTGCTGGAGTGCTGCAGCAAGACCAACACGACAATGGGCAGAATGAGCGAGGAGCTGACATTGTTGCGAGCCCTAATTGTGGGCTACATCAATCGCCATGGCATCATTGATGAGAGGTGAGTCCCAGGCCTGCAATGGCCTCCGCAATCAGGAGAGTCTGTCGAACGTAATTTGCCTCACTACGAAATTAATATGCTCCTCATCCATCTGGTAGTTATTATCGTTGCGTTTGCAGGGCTCGGCTTAGACGGAAAGTCTAACATGCTCGAGAACCAATAGCTTTACCTGGTACCATCTTGAATTGAAACTCATCAACTTGGCCTGGAGGGGTGTGTTCTATCTGGCTGGGCTCCCGCTGCTCCTGCCATGCCTAGATCTGCTCCACAGATCCACTCACTAATGGCAAAAGTTCTCATTTCGCATTAGTTACCTCGTCTCATCGGCATCTGGGCTCTGTGGTCTGATGTGGTGGTGATGCTACTGCTTGTGCTGCTTCTGTTTCTGCTTCTGCTTCTACCTTGCTGTTTAGGGTGTTATCAAAAAGTTTTCAAGGACTGCGCCGGAAGCAGCCAGGCCCCTCTGCCCGCTCTGTAAGGGATATGCCAGCAGAGGAAGTTGCTCTAACTCGACAACGTGCAGAACATCGATGAACCATGGCCATTGAAACTTTGCTCTGCTGCTTTCGATAGATTTTCCAAAGTCAAGCGCACCCGCAGCACTCCCGGCCCTGATCAATGGTGCTATGGTGTTGTGCTGTTGTTTGCGCTCGCCAGCGAATTCTAATTATTGGTTGAGCAGCTGCTCCTCCTCCTCCTCGTTTGCGGCTTCTGATGGAATTTCATATGCTGTGCTTCGACCGCGCCGAAAGTTTGTTTTGCGTTGCTACCGACAAGTCCTGAAAACGCGCCAAGATTTAAATTTTAAGTTCGATGAGGTGCAACCTTGAAAGAAATAATTCAAATTGCCCCGCTGCCCTACGAGGGCACACAACATTTATTCGGCACACGCAGCGTGTGCGGAGCCAACATGCTAAAACCTCAGCGAAAATTGCAACTCCAGGGCTCTTCTGGCCATAAAATCAATGGATGGCCCAGCCGATCCGCAGGCAGCGACCACGGCAACTAATCAGCGAGCAGGCCAGACCCATACCCGTGCCCTCGTTCGAACTAATTATTTTGTAATTTTACGCGCCAAAACCAAAATGGAAGTGGGGGAAAAGGGCTGGCATTCCTGGCGGATGCAATGCTGCGGTCATCAGACTTCTAATTAATTTAGATTGAAATATGCCGCGGGCAGCTGCTCCGTGTGCATCAAGGCTATCGCTTTACATTTTACCCGCTAGACTTATTCCTCGTTCTGGGTCTTTCGTTTCAGCCCCCTGCAGTTCAGCGTGGAGCACACCAAGCTGGTCTGGACGCTCAATTACAGCCTGATCGAGTGGACATCGAAATTCGTGCCGCAATGTCATCTGTTGTCAAATGCAGTCATTGCGGCCAGCAATTTGCTGAAGACGACCGCCGACGAGGAGCTGTATCTTTGCGTTCTGCATGTGAGTACCGCCACAAGAGGGAATGGGGGGCAATGGAAGGAATGCAGGGAACAGAGCGAAGCGCAGTGACTTAGCATGCCACTTAAATGCTTGTCAGCCTTGTCTAGCCGCCATCAGGCCACTTACTAACTGTCAGCCAACTAGCCGGGCACAAATTTGCCTGCCCGTCTGCCATTGACCGGAGTAAACGCTGAGCAATCTGCTGCCCATCCTCCGCCGGGCTCCTAGCTCGCAGCTCTCTGGCCCCCAGCCGTGACTTGTTCGGCTTAGCCGGGGATACCCACGTTGCGCTTAATTGGTTTTTTGATTGACAATTTTCAAAGCGGACCGAGCTGTCATGCCAGCGGCGAACCCCCGCCAAAACCCCGAACAGAAAAAGCCCCAGAACCGGCGCTGTCATAACTGAAGGAGGCGCTGCCAAAAAACGAATGGCAGCAGGGGAGCAAAAGCCGAAATGTTTATTGGCCAGACCGGAGCTCGCACGTGTCGCGGGTCAATTGCAGCCCGTTGCCAAATTGAACGTAATGAAAAGGGTTGCAGAGTGGGTGTGTTGCGTTCGCCATAAACATACCATATATGCTATATGGTATAGTATAGTATAAAGAAATTCCTCAATTGGCGGACGTAATTTGCCGGCATTTAATATAGAGCTGAGATTTTAATTGCAGTTTACGAGTATGGCGAGTGAGCGCGGCAAGTAATTAAAAACTGTTTTTGCACTGCATACTTCCGGGCGATGTTCGGACGAAAATTAAATTCGACTTTTTAAGCAATTTATGAAATTTGCACGCAATTCAATTGTACCATTTTGTTGCTGTCGCTGTGGCTGTTGTTGTGGCTCTTGCTGGCCATGTCCTTGTTGTTGCCTGCCTTTTGCTTTGATGGCCGCAGTCGGGATCCGAATCACGGCCAATAGAGGAGGCAGAGTTCGGAATAAGCGGGAGAAAGCGCAATGGCGCGCAGCGACAACAGCGGCCATAACAATAACAATTTGCCACTCAATTAGCGTGGCCATTACTGAAAAACCCACTTAAGTATGCAATGATAAAAATTCAAAAGCGAATCGAGAGCCGCCTCCCTGCTATTTCTATGAGATGTCCTTCGCCCCGCCACCCCCTCCAACGTCCCGCGAATATATTGCTTATTGTATTTATTTATCTCTTTGTCTCTGCCCAGGGCCTGGAGCGCATGGTGGTCAATAGTAGAGTGCCTTCGCGTGGTGCCCAGCCTACTGGAAGGGAGGCGGCAGTCGCCGGAGCTGGAATTGGAGTAGGAGCAGCAGCAGGAGCCGAGGCCGGAGTCGGAGTCGTGGTCACACCGCAGATGCGACATAAAATTGAAAAACTTGCACTCGAATTGCTGAAAATGGAAAATGAGAAATTTTCGATTCCGGCATTGAAATTGCTTTTGTCCTGCATGTATGTGGGTGAGTATTCAATATTTGGGGTTCGGGGGGTTGGCACAAAGGAAATAACAAAAATAATACCAAGATCAAATAAGGGAGAACACGAACGAACGCAAAGGGAAATCGAGGAGGGGGCTGGCAGGGGAGTAACAGAAATATTTTGTAATTTCATTTAATGCCGCATGGGCCGCGAATGGGTTCTGTTGTTATAAGAAAATTGCACAAAGGACGGAGGGAGATCCAGGAGGAGGGACAAAGACTAGGGGCGAGACAGAGACAATTGAGTGCGTTTTGGGGGATGTGGAAATGGAAATGGCGAGCTGAAATTCCCAATTTCAAATACACACAGAACTTTAAAGAGACTCCCCTGACAGGACGACATTAGTCCGCACTCCGACCAAGTGTACTATATTCTCTTTACGCGCCCAATATCCTTTATTTGGCTGCTGCCACGACCGCGCCCGTTGTCCTGTGTTCTGCGTTTTGTGTGCAATGTCCGATGTCAGATTTTAAATGCGTAGCTGGCCGTGGCGCACTTTGTGTGTTTTGCGGGTCAACAGTTTGGCGCTGATCATTATGGCCATGAATGCACTGCCATTCTGTGCCCTTGCCAGCGAAAGGCTAATTGCTGTCGCCGGCCAACACACACCGCCGACTGTTGCTCCTGGGTTCCCGCTGCTCCTGCTCGGCGCGTATCTCGGCTGCCGCTGGCCAGCAATTATCCCTGTTGCCGTTATTAGCGCAATTCCAGGACAATTATTATCGTTTCCACTGTCGCACACACTCCCAGGCAGCCAGCAGCTCCTGTCATGTGCTAATTTCCCTTATGCTAAAATGTTAGTTTGGCGAATTTTAAGGGCACAATATTGTATTTTTTTAAGTTAAATAGGGGTTGTCCCAATGATATTTGGTGTCCTGCAACAACTACTCTTGTTTATAAGGAAATTAAAAAATTGCATTGAAGAAACTCTCTTCAATTCAAATAACTAACTTAGAGAAGCTACTGTAAGATATACAGTTGTCCCGGCATTACTGCAGCTTAGGCCACATGAGTGCTCATCCTTGTTTAGTTCATTAGCCAGGACTGTTGTTTAGGTCGACACGCTCAGGTGCATATGAAAATCGCCTCGATACGGGTCAAACGTAATCCTCTCAGTCTCCTTTCATTTCAAAAGCTAAGCCAATCGATTTCCTTTACTCCACTTTGTTTTCCAACTGATTCTCTTTAGACAAGAAAAAACAGCCGTCAACCATTTTAAGACTAGCAATAGCAGAGAAGATTTCCCTTCGTTATTCCTTGCCTTTACCTGTACTTTCTAAGAGCAGTGGAATGTGTACAGAGTGGCGTTTCCAACCTGCCGTGTAGGGCCATTCCTGGCCAGAAATTATGCAAGTCGTTCCACAAATATGTCGAGGAATGGCCGCGGCAGGATGCATGCGTAGTTGAAAGTGCGTTGGCGGAGCCTTGTGTGTTTGCCGTGCACTTTGTCAGCGGCACAGGATTGCCGACTGCTGAGTCCCTTTCGCCATGGCCACAGCTTGCAAATCCTTTGAGAAATGTCAATGTTTGTGTAGCAGCCCATTCGCGATGCTTGCTTCGCCCACTAAATGGCGGCAACTGCCTCGATTTTGGGCCCTGCCAACACACAAATCTCGTATACGCAAAACGGCACTGAATCCAGGCTGGGGGTCCCAACTAACGGACGCATCCTGGCGGAAGTTGGCCATTGCTGGGCACGCTTTTTTGCTCTTTTTCCGCTTGCTTGCTTTCTTTTTTAAAGAGTTGTGGGGGGCTCCACGAGAAAATAAACAAAAGACCGCGTCGCCGAAGACAATACAGGTTGCCCAGCAAAAAAAAAGGAAAAAAGAAAAAACGGACGAAAAGCAAAGCTTAATAAAAACAGAGAAGCAGGAGAACAGGGAAAGTCGAAAAAAGCGTTTATATGTTTCCCCCTCAAAGTTGCAAAACGCAATAATAAATATTTGCGGTCATATTGGTCAGTCGGTTAGGGAAAATGGTTCGAAACCGGAAGACAACGACGCAGAAGGAGACCCCTTAATGTATATACTAGATATATAATTTACTTAACAAATCATCATCATCCAAGACCTGATAGAACGACTGGACTTCTTGCTATTTTATGATCAGAAAATAATGAATGGGTATTCAATATTCGTAAGAATGACCTCCGTTTCCTTGATTCATGTTGGCTTCTGTGTTTGCTCTTCTCTTCTACATATTTCATTGCTTTTTTTTTTTGCACCAGCACACTTTTGCTTAACGAATTTTAGAGTTTTGTTAGGTTTTCTTATTTTCGCCGTGCATTGCCTGCGGCAATTGTGGCGCGCATAATTGTGGCCAGGCGCCGGGCAATGCCGCCAAAAACCCCCACGCCGTGTAGCCTCCATATTTGACCATACTTCATCCCCATTCAAAGCCAGCAACAACAATGCCAAAATTGGCAACAGCCAGCCAAACAAGCTGCCCGCAGGCCAACAGCCACGACCAAGAATGTTAAGCTGCAAAACAAAGGCCAAAGCCAAAGTTGGCGCGGCCAAAAGGCGGCGCTCAGTTGGGTTAAGGGATGTGGGCTGCTCCTTTAGGGGGGTGTAGGGACGAGGGGAGGGTGGCAAGGTGAATCGGTCGCTCGCATTGTAAATAATTCGATGCCGCTAAACCACACTAAGCAGCCAGGGCTGCGGCTTTCAGCGTTCTCTCCGGTTGCCATCATTTTTCACCTGGCCGAGACTAAGGTACGCACATTTATTTGGCTACCCACCTCCCGTTGCCGGATTTAATCGAACAAGTCTAATCTATAGCTGTGTGGCGTTTAATGCTCGAGAGTTGCTTTAGTTTTTTTTTGTTTAGTTTTCAATTTGATGGTCAGGGGAGAAAGTTAAACTCAAAGCGTCGAGCTACCGAAAAATCCATAAAATTTAAATGCAAATTTATGGACGTGTGTGTCCTGGGGATTCGCTCGTTACCGGGAAGAGGAAACGTGAAAGACGAGATTCTGGTGATTCGGGGGGGAGAGGGGCGAAACGCAGGCAGTGACAGCAGTGGCGTGTGAAGGACCGCAAGCATGTGAATAATGGCCATCGGCATGTGCCTTGAAGGCTGCTTTGTTAATTAGAAAGTTTCACTTTCTTCTCCTCGCCTCTACCCTGCGCAATTTTCCGGTGACTTATACGTTTTTTGGTCCCTACCTGCAGGTTCTGCTGCCCAACTGGAAAACACGGAGCTGTCGAACGGCATTGTCCAGGACGATCCGGAGATAATCGCCCAGCAAAACGACAAAGTCGATATACTTTTGCATTGTATTAAATCATCGACTCGAGATGCCGCCTGGATTTATGGACAAGTGCTGTGCCAAATTATTCGTGATTTAGTGCCACCGAATGAAATATTGACGAAGGTCATAAAGGAGTTTCTGGCCATAAATCAACCGCACGGCGATGTTATTGCCATGATTGTGTATCAGGTGAGTGGTAGCCAAAGATCTAGCAAAGTAAAGGTAAAGACGCTGTCCACTGCCCTGCAGGCAGCCGTGCGTGGCTCTGAATGAATTCATGTGTAGGGTTCATTTTACGAGTCCTGGCTCATGTGCCCAGCCCCCAAATCCTTCCCCGGTCTGTGCCTGGAGACCGGAACGGAATGGGGCCAATGCAGCGCTAATGTTTGGCCTGGCCGCAAGTCGAAAGGGTAAAATACTTGCCGCCAGCTGCCATCTGCCAACTGCCAACTGCCTTTGGGCCCAGGCCCACCACATGTGTGCGTGTGCGTCTGTGGAATTTTTGGCAGCTTGAAAATTAATGGAATTCATGGCTACCGCTTGGCCCCTGTCCAGCGGCAGGTGCGAGTGCCGGGACGACGAGTATGTGGGTCAATGTGAACCAGAGACGCCGCCGCCTCCGACTGTGACCGGACCACTGTGGTGCCATAAAATGTTTTCATTAAGTTCAAGGTTACCCAGTGGGTGCGGTGCGTGCATGGAAATTAATAAAACCAAGCTCGGCACTCACCCAGGGATTGGGCATTGAATGCTGGAAGCTGGAAGCTGGAACCTCTTACCTGGGATCCCGGAGCGCCACAATTTGCACTGTCATTTGCAGGCGGCCCCGCCGGTGCGGCCCGGATTCCCAGGCTGCGGAATTTCATTAGCCAACTTTCTGCCACAAAGTATGCTGCCCCGACTTTTGTGGCCCCCAAGAACGCACCCTTTGGAGCAGCGCAATAAAATTTAATTTCCGTATTGTCGGCATGGCCTGGCTTTTATTTAAGCATTTCGTTTCCAGCCACTCACTAACCCGTTCTCTCTTCCCCTCTCTCCAGGTATTTCGCTCTGCCATTGACTCGTCCTACCTGCAGATGCTCCAGGACTGGCTGATCTGCACACTGCCAACGTTCCTGGCCCAGCCGGAGCAGCAAGGTGTCTGGGGTCTCAGCGTCATCTTTTTATCCGCCTCCATAAATCTGCATTTGATTAAACTATTTCCGCTGGTGCTCGGCATCGGGGCGGCCAACACGGCGACAACAGGCACAGCGGCGGCATCAGCGACGGCCCGAAAATTGGGTCAACACGAAATTGCATTGTTCGTGACAGCTGCACAAGATTTCCATGCGAAATTGAGTGGCGAGCAGCGGGAGCGCTTCCGCGAGGCCTTCAGCAGCTTTGAGCGGAGTCAAGTCTACGGCAGGATGCTGCAGCGGCTGTGAGCCTGTGGCAGCGATGCGAAAGCGATAGTGATAGCGATAGCGATACCATATAATCATTGGAGTGCTCGCCGAGAGCGAATATTTATCTAACGTTTAATTCCAATTGCAGAAAGGGGCGGAAAGAAAATGCAGGTCTGGGCAGCGGCCAAACTTGCTCCAAAGACAAGCGCAAGCGTGAATAACTAATTGCCCCGAGCTGCGGAGAAAGTTTGAGCGGATGCCGGACATGGCGGCCCTTCTTCGCGGCGAAAGAGAACGAAAAGTTTTTTAATAGTTGGCGAATTCGAAATTAATTTATGCTTTACATTATGTGTAACTAATATTTAAATTATTGCAAACGAATGTACGCCACCCCGACTTCCCCAATCTGGTCGAAAGTTTAACGAGGCCACCAGGAGGAGAGCGACCCGCAATTAATTCCCGTGGCTTTCGACAAGGACCGAGGGCCAGGACCAGCAGACGGCCAACGGACGCTCACGGAAATTATGTTCTTGTCAGTTTTTGGTAAAGTTTATCATTTATTTATTATGACAACGCCGCTTGCCAGGCAAAAGGGTAAACGAACCTCGCCAAAGGACGCTGGTGAACATTAGCGGCTTAACCAATTGCCGGCTAATTCCTAATCAAAATTACTTAAAAATTCCATTATGCAACCCCTAACCTTACCCACTTGTGTATTCCAATTGTAATCAATGTAACAACCATATTGTTTAACGAAATAAAATCACAAATTATAAGCAATCTCTCGAGCACTATCACTTCAGGGAATGGAGCTTCGATATCTGATTTTTAAAATGCATAAAAGCCGGGCCAAGTACTTTGCCAACTAACCGAGAAATTCGTTTTTGGATTACCGAACTATATGCAAATCGGTTCGAACTTTTGCGCTTTTACCTGCGCTGGCACATGTAACGGGGCTCTTGTGCGTTCTCTTCGTTTTGCCATCTTAACAACAAAGCGCATTAAAGTTGACAAAATGTTTCTTCCTCGAACTATCGAAGAAGTGCTCGACTGGAAAAAAAAGTAGTAAGCTAACCGGGTTTAGCTTGAATATCAGATGCCCTTAAAATTATGCACGGGTCTCTTCTGGCTTTGTTTTAATGAAAAATTGGTATTTGTAGAAGCTGTTTTTATTGAGTGCTGTCATTGGGAGATTATGGAGATTCTGTGTGGTAAAAAGAGTTAATGAACTTTTAATCTGTACTGCAGGATTACTAGTAAGCCCTTTTAGGGTAATATAATTTTAGTCCGAAGCTTGCAAAGCAGTGATGGAGTCATTTCCAACCCTATAAATCATATATATTCTTGATTAGCATTAACAAGCGAGTCTTTCTAGCCAGTTTTCCGTATAAAAATGAAAGATTTGTAGACCTAGTTATGGCTTTTTTAAACTCTGATTTGGTTATTTAGGAAAGTGTTTAAGGGTTTTTAAGGGCATAAATATTATTTCCTTGCCTAACTAAACTTAGCTTTATATTTTATATTCCTGTATCCAAAGGCTAATTATCATTATATTCAGTCAATAGATTTAATTTCCAAGAACATTTCTATAAAGAAACCAAAGTTTGGGTATACCTCATCTGCAGAGTATGAAAATCCGTTTGGTGCGTTACTCCTTTGTGTTTGTATGCCGAATTTGACAGATAAACTTTCGATTCGAGTGTGTGCGGGCATGTGTATGGGTATGGTGTGCTGGTTGTGCGCTCGACAGGGACGGAAGGTGGCTTTGTGTGCATGCAAAGCTTGCCGGAAATTTGCCAGTTCAACGCGAAACGACAAAAAGCCGGCGAAAAAGAAGGAAGTTGCAGCACACACACTGAAATGAACTGCAAAGCTGTTCAAAGTTGTTTTTCTGCTTTTTGGCGCGCGACCGACCGCATTATGCAATCGTGGGCGTGCCTCAGTGTCTCCGTCTTGAGGGGCCTCGCCCTCCCACGCCCTGCTGCTACTCCATTCCACTGATATTCAGTGTCAAGACAATGTGCCCATTGTCGCCGTCGCCGTCGCCATTAAGCCGACGCAGGCCAAGAGGCAATTTGGCCACTTCTTGCCGCCTGGGTCATAAACTGCAACATTTCGGCTATCAGCATTTGGTTACGCTTCATTTGGCCAAAACGGGCTCGGGCACAGATTGTGCCACTTCCCGTTCCCATCTTTGCCGCCCATGGATTAGTCGGTGGCAAGTGAGTGACCGAGCGCAGGTATCAAGTATACGCCCCGGTGGCCAGGCCATGAAAGGATGCACACAGCCACCTTCGGCAGGGAAACACTAGGAACATGGAACACCGAGCCGGCAGCGTGTTCCCTTTTCACAAGTTCCCTGGCTCTCTGTAGCTGTTAACCCTGAACTCACCACGATTCGGAGTGGCTCTCTTTATTACCACCCTCTCTTAAGCTAGCCGCTCTCTCTCTCTCTCTCTCTCTGTCACTGGCTAGAGACTAGGTCAGTAGTGTAACAGTCTCTGCTTCCGATTCCGGTTCCGATTCCATTCCGTTCCCGCACGCCCACGTAACGGTAACTGCTTGGTATGCAGCAAACACAACGGGATGTACCGCAATTTCTTAATACTCGGATGGCTTTAAGGAGGCTCCGAGCGGGAGAAGGGAGCAACAACTGTTACACTCACAGTTATGATTATTGTTATTATGATAATGTCAGCGGCATAAGCAGCCGTCGCTGTAGTTGCTGCTGTTGTTCTCGGCTTTGGCGTTATTGTTTGGCTATTTGTTTGGCGTTGAAATGCTTTGTCCTTGCCAAGGAAAACAAGGGAAAGCCAAGCAAGTTCGGCCAGCGAAGCGTGCGCTTTTATGGCGCCAATAGTTGCTTTTAGCTTTATTTCGCCAACTTCCTGCTCCTCGCAACCAAATCGAATCGATCCATTGATTTTCCCGCCTCATTTTGCAGGCCAACTTGGAGCAGGGTCCTCGTGCCGCTCCTCTTTTGCTCACCCTCCTCCTCCAGCCTGAGCCTCCTCGAAGCTCATTTGAAATTTTGATTACATTGCCAACGAGCCGAAGAGGAACCTGTCAGCGACTGATACGCATTAATTACGTTACCTGGTGTAAAAAGCAACGCCTCGACACTAGACGACGGGGCCCGCTTATTAAAATTGAATAAATTATGCAAAAGTGCGCGTGGTGGCTCCACTTGGCGGCAGTGTTTCAGCCAATACGCGGACCCCGCCTGTGCGTTCGCCTCTTAATGGAAGAGATCCGCGAGATGGACAACGCATAATTAATTCCGGTCAGTCGCCAGCGCTGAGCGAAATGCAATCAGCATCTTGAGCCTGCTGCCAAAGTCAGGACTTAATCGGTGGAGCACATACCTCACGAGGAGTACTTTCACACCAAAGAGGGGAATGGCTGTTCCATTCACTGCTTCACAATTTCTTTAAAACTTTATTGCACCCTTGCAGGGTACTATAATTATAATTTAAGCTTTAATTGTCATATAAATTTTCGAAAATTGACTAAATTATCAATTTTATATTAAATATTAATAATTTTGTATGCAGTTTTCATAAACTTATAAGAACTAACATAGACAAGTTTTCCAAATAGAAACTAATTCATTTTCGTCTTGATTTTGTTCGTTTTTAAAGGTATACCAACTTCAGATTTCAGAATTAGCTTCCTCCCGGTGTTAATTTTTATACAGTTTATTTCAAAAATTATAAACCCTACGATCTCCTCCTAATAGTATAAATATATGTACATGTAAAAATCAAATTCGCAGAACAAAAAATTTGCATTCCTTGTTGACTTACCTGTGGCTGCGCACCAATGTAGACTCCGAGTGGGGTCTCCGGCGGCTGAGGAGCACGGGGCCTTAGAATAAATGAATGCCTGAGTGGCTGTGCAAATGAATGCGAGTTCGAGTGATTGCACAAATGCAGCAGGCAGGAGGCAGTTACCTCCCTTCTCTCGATATCGATGGCAGCGCGAACTTTCGACTAGTATTCCGCTTTCATGTTTCACGCGTCACTAAATGCCCATTTAAACGCCAGAAGCTCGATTCGCTTGCATACATCCTAAGAACTATATATGCGTCTGGCTATAGTTTGGGCAATTGCCTTGAGAGCCGCCGGCTGTCAGTTGAATTCCAGTTAAATAAAGTGCGCATATGGGTGTGTGGGCTGAGTTAGTTAGTTCTTTAATGGCTTACACACATAGCAAACTGCGGTAACAATATGCCCAAGACCAAGGGGTTTTGTAATACATTAAGTTCGATAACAGGTTCAGAGTGCTATATTATATAATAATACCCCACGGTTGACTTCTTCTAACTCGAGTACAAAGAAGCGAGTTAGCTTAACATTACAGATACTTGATAGACAATCATAAGGTTCTTAAATCTGTACTTTCTATTTACAACAACTTAAGTCTAAGACTAGCCAGAAGAGCACTCTAGAATAGTTCCACTTAGTCCCAGTAAGTCCATTGGTCCTCTGGTTCCGTTAAAGGGACACTTGTATGTGTCCACCTTGGCCCACGGAGATTCACACGCGATGGGGGCGACTCTTGCTCCAATCGCCCATCGGTCAATCATGTCTCTTTCCTCTAGGAAATTATGCTTAGAGTCCTGTGGTGGATGTCCTGGCGCACGAGGTCTTGCGCGGTGGCGGCAAATCAGATGTGTAGTTCTGATATCGGGGCGAGCAGTTGATGGCCTGCAGGAACAAAAGGACAGGGACTGAGAACACGAAGGAAATAATGCAAAATTGGCAGAGTTTAGCGCTAAAAATACATAATGTACTGTGATGATGGCCCAGTGAGTTCACTGTTCGGGCCACAATATTTGATTAATGATTTGTTGTGATGCAGAGTCACTCTGCAGGAAAATGGGAAATGGCCCAAAAGCTATTCCCTTGTCAAGGCCTCTGGTTGCGATTGTTGCCGTCGCTTTGCATTTGAATGATTAGATTTGATTCAATATTCAATTATTAAAGTGGTTTGAGGTGTTGAAATGCCGGCAGACAACCAGCGACTGGCCCCAGTCGCCTGGCAACCAACCGATCTGGGAGCTGGTTGAACTGGGAGTTGGGAGTGCCATTAGGAATGGGCTGTGAGATGGGACTGCGATTGGATTCTGGACGATTGAGGAGCGAGAGTTTGCATATAAATGATTTATGAATTTGCGCTTTGATTGAACTGCCTGAAATTGTTGATTAGTGCCTCGTCATAGAGACAAGCTCCGGCCGTAGGTAGCAGGGCTCTGGGGAACTGAATTACGGCCTTTGAACAGCCGGCAGTTATGTTCCTTGGCTTCCAAGGTGCGCTGTGCGTTCACATTGTCTCTGTGTTCGGCTCATTATTTGATTATAGCAGATGGCCAACAGCGGAAAGGCGTTTAAAGCCGGAATCGCAAACGTTTGATTTGAAGAGTAAACATAAATAATAATATTTACAATAGTGATGTGAAATTAAAGAAAGAAAATACGTTTCTATTCATGCAAATTGATTTGAGACTCTCATACACAATCATGCTTAAAATGTGAAATATTTAAGAGATTTACCAAAGCTGTGCAGGATTTCAAAAAGAAATTTATTAAGAAAATATAAAAACAATAATAGTCTCAGCCTTACTGTAGTGTCTAATAGGTAGTTTTCTCTGAACTCACGTCCTGATGCTGCATTGTCCACCTGCCAAGCCGCTTGGATTGAAAACTCTTTGAGTGCGAGCATGGTTAGTGAAGAGATATATAGAGACATGGAGAAATCGAGCAATTTGACATATGAATAAATGCTTGACGACTAGCAGAAGGCTCGGCCTGCTGGCCAATTAATCAGATTGACATATTCCAGACCACGAGGTTTCCGGGATATACAAAAACAAAAAAAAGCTTTAGGAACACGCTCCTGGCGGCACAAGGAAACAATAGTAAAAGAAACAATTCAAACAACAGCCCGGCAATTTAATTAACGTAATTAATCTAATTTAATGACTTGACAAACACATCAATTAGCGAAAGGCGAACCAAGACAGCACCACCAGTCCAGGAACACAATTTATATGCAAAGTGCCAAAAGCTTTGCGCAAAATAGGGAATTTTCCCTCAACCTGAAGGCGCGACTCACGCACCGCAGCAACGACGGCAGTGGAAAAACAAATTAAAATATTAAAATTAAGCCACAAAATGATTGAAAGGAAATGTTGTACGTTGAAAGTAAAACTCGCCGGCTGCCTCGCCATCGATGCCATTGAGTACAGTGTCTCTATCTCTGGCTCGCCCCGCCCCGCTGTTTCTTGAGCTGTTTTGTGTCTGTTTGTCCCTAAAGTAATTAAAAGTAAGTAAAGCAAAATCACCGCCCCCTGCCCAGAGACTGAAAGCTCTGGGAGACTGGACTGGGTGCGGGTGTGGGCGTGGCTGTCCGTCCAGTGATTTGCGTCCCGCAACGTTTTTTGTGTTTATGCAAATGGCCGCTGACCAAAAGAATTAATGCGTCCCGAAAGTGAGTTGAATTGGAATGAGCCGGGAACCGGAGCACAAAACTGCGGGCAGCCTGTCAGTCGTCCGTCTGTTTTGTGAAAATGGCGGGGACCGACGGATGCCAATGTCGAAAATGCCGACGACCATCAATGAATTTACAAGCAATGCTATAAAAAGACCAAGGGGGAAAAAATAAAGGAAAAGCCTATAATTTCCTTTCGCCCCAAATGCGTTGCTAATTTGGCTATATCTTTAAATAGCCAACCTTAAGGAATCACTTGTACTTTTAAAGTCCAATCATTGTGCGATTTAATGGAAAATTATGGAATGCAAAGGATGGTATTTCTCCTACCCATATTGCGTGTTTCCTGCCCTGCCTCGTAAACTACTTCGATGCACTTCATTAAATGGACAAGACAAAAGATTTTTACACACACATCCAATAATGGGAAATATTTTTTCATAACAAGCCTGCCAGCCAGCAAGGCAGCCAGCGGAAGAGCGAAGGGAGGAGGGCTCGTTGTTTCAATGCACAGCAGCTGCGAATTGTCGGTGGAATTGTGTTGCCCTGCTGCCTGGCTATATAAATAGAGATGGACGGTCGGATGATGATCTCGTTGATCCAGTTTGATGGGCATGCCTTTGCCTGGGATGAAATTGTTCTGTAAATTTCACCTATTTATATCGTAAATATAAATGTGATGCCGATGCCAGCGAGCGAAGCCAAACTGAACTCGACCCACGCGGCGTATGCGCGTTTTTCGCACTTAACTCATTAAAACGGCCGCCTGCTCGCCGAAAATTAATGGGGAAACGCGCCCAGTCTTTTTTGGAATTTTTTTAGCCGCTTCTTTTTTACGTGTGCGTGTTTTTTCTTCTGTCCATTATTATCGTAAATTATTTAATTGCATTTCAGATTTTGATTTGAAATGAAAACATTCCCGCATTTAAAATCTCATTAGGATTCGAAATGGAAATGCGGTTGAGCGGAAATGAGCGGGAATGTTGAAAGGCTATAGTGGCATGGCCTTTGGAATATCATAGCAAAGGTTTTTTTTTTGCTGTTCGCCACTCTATAAATCCATGTACGGCAACTGCAAACTATACACATAGCGATGATGACTCTCTTAAAAATTATGACAAATAAAAATGCAAGCGAAAACAATGCACTGAAAATATTTGAACCAGCATCGTCGATTCGTCAATATATTGACCGAGCACTCATATGCCAGTCATTGGAGGACCCTCCAGCGGGCCTCTCGTGTGCCAGCCACTCACCTTGTAGAAGGCCTTTCGGAAATTGTCGGAGAGGAAGGCGTAGAGCAACGGATTGATGCAGGAGCTGCTGTATGCCAGTGTCTGAGCACTGACCTGCATGACGACCTTCGGCAGGCTGTTGATTTGGATGATATCCAGCGACTTGAGTAAAAGGATGAGCTGTGGACAGTTCAAATGGAATTTAATTGTATTAGACAAAGAATGAACAAAGAGGATACTCACCTGAATGGGCAGCCAGAGCGAGGCAAAGGCTATGACCACCACCACGACCAGGCGGGTGACCCGCTTGCGTCCCCGCTGCGACTCCTTGGACATGCGTACGCCGCTTCCCTGGTGCCACAGTCTCATGATCATGCGCACGTACAGCCCGCTGATGATCATCAGTGGCAGCAGGTAGGAGCTAATGAAAAAGGACACCTGGAAGGTGCGCGGGCTAATGTAATCGTTCGCCTTGAAGGTGCACATGCCGATGCTCCTTTTGCCATCGGACATTACCTGTAAAAATCGATAAAGGTAGATGGTTAGCGAATGGCATGTGTGTTCCTGGGAATATTGCGCATACGTCATGTTGGCTCTGACAGTTGCATGGCAGCAAGGACGGACGGACGGCCAACAGCCAGACGTCGTAAATAAAACCAAACTGTCATACGAATAGTTTGGACGTCGGACGTCGACAACTAACTCGCAATCTCACTTCGTCTCTCTGCTGCTGGTGACATTCGCCTGACAAATGGTTCAGCTGGAGTTGAATTTGGATTCACAGTGGTGGGAGAACTCGGATTGGATTGGTATATTGGCTAGACACGACTAGGAGGAGGGTCATAAACTGGCTGGTGTGTCGTAAAAATATTTGCAGCCTTTGTTTACAATTTTGTTTACAACCTCCTCCTTCGCCCTCCCGCGATCGATGCATGCGTATGGAAAATCGTATTTAAAAAGTCTTCTGCCTATTAATGCCCGAAAACCCGAAAATGCTTACAAAAACTGTTTGTTTATAGCCTCGCCGCCGCGTTGTTCTTACACTGACCGAGAGCGATGTTGGCCCACAAATCGAGTTCGGATCTGGCCATCGTCAAGTGCCCAAGGCCGGCGAAGTACGGAGCAGACAATCATCGCCAGACCCTACGCTGATTTATGGGTTAATTTTCTCGCGCTTGTTCTCCAAATCCGAAGACTTAATAGACTTGACAGGCCATTAATGCGTTTTTCTCGTTTTCTTTTTTTTTTAATAGAGAGAGAGAGAGAGGCCAGTCCTAGTCCCACCCCCGCACAGCTGTCAATCAAAGCCATGACCTGGAGATCCCATATCTAGTTACGCAGTCAGACATTCAGACATATGTGGCCGCTCCATTTATGATTATTACTTATCGATTTCTAATAAAAAGATAATGGCACTCGCACACAGATAATGACATCGGCACACACCCCATCGCTATTTGCATGTGTGCGGGAGAGGCGATGTAATATGGAAATAATTAATGGCAAACTGTTAATTAACATGTTGATCAAACATGACTTAATTATGCCTTTTTATCGCGTGTCTCTGTGTATTTGTACACGCACGGCCAGATAACAAAGCAAGGCACACATATGAGCATTCAATTTGGCCCGCTGTTTTTCCAGCTTAATCCTTAGACAAAGCAAAGCAAACACATAAACAAACAATAATGCGGCCCACTGGACCCACTCGCCTTGCCTGTCCCCCACGTAAACAAGGCGCACAAAACCGTGCCAGAACAAAATGCCGAAGCGTGAAATGCCATTTAATAAAATATTAGGTTACAATAACAACAGAGCGGCGGCATCAGGAGCAGGAGCTGAAGCGATAGGACTTCGGCCAATGGGCCATCTCATAGATAAAATAGCTCATGGCCCAGGCGACGACGATGAGATACGTTTAATTAGCCGCGACTCTTTCGCCCTACTTTACCGAAGGAACACAATAACAAAAAAATAAAAGCGAATCCCAACAGCACAAATAAAAAGTTGGTCGTGTGTGATGTGGGATTTGCCCTCGTGGCTGTGGGAAAACAGCTGGGAAAACGCCTCCGCATACTTGGTGACGTTAGCGGAAAAGTAACTGTGATTAGGTGATGTTCATAATGATGAAATCGAATAGGCATAATTGGGAAACAGTGTAGGATCTGAGAGGCTAATTAATGCGTTGTGTTAAGCTCAGATTCGGAGAAATTTATGACAGCAAAAAATTATATTAGAGCCTGATATGAAATTAAACAATTAGAAAATTAGTGTACAAATTTTAATAGGTAAGCTTTATGCATTGCTTTTTGAGCGAAATAAGAATTCTCTCTGACATCACAACATTCATAAATCCTTTGACTCCCAGTCAAAACAAACCCGATGCGTAGATATTTGCCCATTGGCCATTATTCAGCAATTAAATCGTTCCTCGCTCATCTTTGCGCATCGATCATAAAAGCTTCAAGTGCCGGGCGAATGCTTGAACACTTCAAGGTCGTGACCTGTCCAGACATTTATCATACGCAGTGTGCGCGCCCGAAGTTTGCAAGTGCAAAGTTCTCATAATGGCCGCTTGTTACGACTTATGACTGGCAAAGATTTACGTGCTTTTGGAATCAACAGTTGAACCCGAAAGTAAGCAGCCACTATGCTAGAGGAGCAAACCTAAGAAACTGGAGGGGCGAGTGGGCGGAACGCGATCTGCGGGGCTGCCAGCACGCCAGTTGGCAAGTGTTTCTCGCTGGCTATCTGCTCTATAATTAAAAATTTATGAATTCAAAATAGCAAATTAGTAACAAAAACAAATCGGGCGCCGCGCATCGAGCGAAATTTTCAATATAAACACAAAACAGAAAACAAGATAAAAAGGCGAAACTTTAATGATTTGTATCAGGATCAGCCGGGGCAGGCGGGGGCCGGAGGGGCCTCCTCACCTTCGAGCACAAGGCGGACTATCTATAGCGAACCCAGCAGCATTGACGCGCGGCTCGAGGAATCTAACGAGGTGACGATGATGGAAAGCAATAAATTTGCCTGGCCCGTGTTCTTCGCAGCAGATTTAGGCGCAGCAGGCAGCCAGGCAGGAATAGGAATCCCCACCACCTCCCACGTTTATCCACTTACCGCGAAGTCGTTTATGAAGGCCACGGGTACCGAGACGACCAGAATCACCACCCAGAGGGTAACTATCGCGACCATGGTGATGTTTTCCGTGCGCATCATCCGCGACCGGATGGGATGGACTACGGCCAGGAAGCGATCGATGGACATCAGTACCAGCGTGTAGATGGATGCAAAGGCCGTCACCACAATCAAATACTGGACACTCCGGCACCAGAATCCTCCAAACGGCCAGTAGTCCGTGACATAGTCGGCGGCCGTGAAGGGAATGCAAAGGATCACGAACAGTAGATCTGCCACGGCCAGGTTTACGATCATCAGGTTGGTTGTCGACCGCATATTGTTGTTGAATACCACCACCAAGATGACCAGCAGGTTGCCCAAGAATCCCGTAATGGCGATGGCGCCGAAGGTGAAGCCTACCAGCCAAGGCAGTATGCCCGTGAGGGCCAGCCACTCCTCCTCCGTGAAAAAGGAGGTTATATTTTCGTCGCTTCGGGTGGTATTGGCCAGGGATATATTGGCCAGCGTCTCGCCGGTGATCAGAGTTGTGTTTTCCATCTTGATAGATTTTTTTGAGGTTTGTTTTTTGTTTTTTTTTTCACTTATTACGTTTCAATAATTGTCCGGCGCTTGTTACATTTTACTTGATGGACACAGGACATTTTCAATTTTCTTTGCGATTCGGGGGCACTTTTCGTCCATCACAGTTCATCGAACTCAAATAACAAATTTCCAATTAGGAGATTTTCACAAAGCAGCCGCCGATGCCTCCACAGAAATTCAATTATCATGCGCAATATTGGAATCGATGGTAAGGAGTCCAGTCCGCAGAGCACGGAGACGTAATGCACACCGGAACCGGAATTGTTCAATCGTTGCGGGTGGCCAAAGCAATTTGGTCCTCGCACACACACACAGCCATTGAGGACTACGAACGATAACGGTAATTGTAGCCAGGTAAGACAACAATGAAGGGACAGGACATCGGCGCCAAGGAGGACCAAGGCAAGAGGCACGTGCAAATCGGCGCCGACGCAGCCAAACTCTGCCGTGTCCGTGTCCGTGCCACACCCTGACGACAACAAGGTCGAGAACACCTCTTCTGGGTACGGCCGCAATCCTCGAGGACCTCGCTGCACCTACACCATAAATTCAATATGATGTCTTTCTTTGCCTCGCTCGTTCGCTCTGCTCTCCCGTCTGTTTGCCCTGTTCGCTCTTTATTGACAAACGAACGGCATAAATTTTTGGCTGTCCCGAACCAAAAAAAAAAATAACACAAAAATACTCGTTTCCACAGGTACAATTTACGAGGCCTTTGTTTCACCCAGCAGCACGTTTTACAACGAATATAAGAATATTTTTGATTTCGCCCGAGTATTGCCGCCGCCTGTTTCCATTTCAATTTCGATTTCAGCTGCCGTTTCTGTTTCGGTTTCGGTTTGGGGCCAATTCGAAAATCCAAACTGCACGCGTTCGTTTCCAGCGCCCAACTGATTGCTGGCTGAGGTCGCAGATGACTACGTCGATGCCGGCAGCAGAAGCGGCATCGCCAGCACCAGCACCGGCACCAGACGCAGCGCCAGCAGCGACGCCAGCCTTCTCAGCAAGAATAATAGCAACAATAGCAACGTGCGTGAATGTGGATGTGGATGTGGCAGCAGCAGTGGAGCCTCGGGTGGCGACCGCCGCTCATCATCAGCTGGTCGCCTCTGGAATGTTTGCTCATGCCCTGCTCCAACAGTTGGCCCGCAATTGTCGGGCAATCACTACTGGTACTACCACTGGCCACTCCTCCCGCTCTCGGCTGCCCCGCTGACAGCCATTCCGGGTTATTGTGCCGCACAGCTGGATGTCGCCCCGATGTCGTCAGCGTCGGCTGCACAGCTGGCGGAGCTGCCTGCGTCGCTACTCTGCCGGGTTTAGTGCTTTGCTTAATTTCTCTGATTAACTGCCGAGGCATCAAAGGAGAAAAAAAAGGCAAACAAAAAGCGCCCGGCACGCGCCCACTGTGGGAATGGGTTAATACCATTCACACACCTGTGGACTCCGGGGACGAGGTGTCACAACATTATATAACCGCAGCCGGCAGAGCTCAATCTTGGCCTAGCCCAGAGCCTCATTTACATGCATTTTATTGCCACCACTAACACTCACCTTTCCTGTCACCTCACACCTGTCACCTGCAGACTGCGGCGGCGGCGGCGGCGACGCTTCGACAGAGACGCCAGCGTCTGCGTCAGCGGCAGCTGTGGCCCCATCAAATCTGCGGCGGCCTGTCTCCTGCCGTTCGTCCTGGGCCACGGCTCACTGCACCCCTGACGAGGACGTCGCCAAGCTGATGAGATTAAAAGCGAATTAAGCGCCAGGAACAACAACGAAAATGGCAACAGCAACGACAACGGCGGTTAAAAAAAATAAACAAACGACAAGGCAAACAGCGAAAAGCACAAGCGGAATTATGTTTATTTAATGTGCAGCACGGTGGATTTAATGAAGTCTTTAATTCTTAATGCAGGTTCATTGCCTATTTAAATGGGCAACAAAGCCTAGAGTTGGTCAAGTTCTCTAATTCTGAATGAGCATGGGGCGGGGGGCGCCATCTTGTTTGTTTTTTCGATTTCATTGCATACTTTGGGGCAGCCAGGCAAAATGAACCGGAAACGGAAGAAGAAATAGATTTGCAGAAAACGCTCTTGTGGAAATTGGATTTTTGACAATTGAACTGTCCGAAGATATAGCTAAATTTAACCTCAAACTAAATCTATGCATCTATATTAGTATTAATAAATATTCCTGAAATTGTAAATCAATGCAAAAATGTTCGTATTTTAAACTGTATTACTTTATTTAAATGTAGCAAGGATATAAGTTAATTTATTATTATTATATGTAAATAAACTAAACAAAGTAAATAAAATAAATGCTTAAATTACCTAAACTTACATTTTCCACCCCAATCTTATCGAATATTAAAGTTCATATATTTCCAAAACCAACCATTCATATGAATAACCATTAAACCGAAACTTCTGCAAAGGCTTAACAGAAATTGAAAGCATTCCACCATACGCACACTTAAATTAGCATCTAAATAAATGACTGGCAGGGTACAAGGACCTTCATAGCCACACACAAACACCCATAAGTACACACACTCCATCTCACGCTGAATTTTCCCTTTTCGAAGCAACAATTTGGGTGATGCCAGAAAACATTCGACGTGATTGAAATGCTTTTTAATTTTTCATCAAAATCATTTCATTGCGTCAAAATTGTTTGAGTGCTTGTGCGCGGCATGATAATCCGCAGCCCACACACAACGCTCGCCCACCACATATCCCCATATTCACCCACACGGCGGCAAAAGCCGGAGAGCTGGAACACGCCCCAGCTTAACCTTTTTCGTGTGCTGCGATGGATTGGTTCACTTTTGCCATAATCATGCGAGAGGGATTACAAGTCTCTGGCAGGGACACGAACTTTGGCCGTCACCAAGGAATCTACAGTGGGTCAAGCAGCGGAAAGCGGTCTCCGAGTCCAAAGTTGTTTCAACTTTAAGAGAACAGTTTCTCTAACAATCAATCATTGCACTTAATTGCCCGGGCTCATCCAAAATTTATCCAAGTTGAGCCTATATATCACCAATTTCTCTGCTCGGTGCCACTGTGTTCAGCGTCGAAGTCAACTTTTGACGAAAATGATGGATTATCGCCTTTTGCGCTAACGTTCACATGTTTTTATTTATTTGTATTCGAGGCACACTCGTTTTGTGTCCCAAGGCCTGACCCTTTTTTCGGCAGCTGTCTCCCATCGCCGGCGGGGGGAATTAATAAATGTAAGTCCGCATGAGAGTGCCCAAAAAAGCAGGCAGCGGCGATGCTTAAGCCACACAAAAGACCGCACTAATCGCTTTTTTTCTGTTGTTGGTCCGTCCGGGATTTGGATTGGAAATGGAGGGAAGGGTTTCGGGTTCCGAGTTACCATCTCCGAGTTTGGGATCGTGGGCAAAAATAAGAACCAATAGCCGGCCGGCGACACAACTTTTACACAGCTTTCGCTATTTAATCATTCAAATTGACTTTTTTCTTGCCTGATGGACGTTAATTTTGAAATCCCTTCTTAAACGCTGCCCGCTCCGCTCCGCTCCACCTGACGCTGCCAAGTCCGCGGTTGCTTCGCAACTTCGCTTTACGCCCGCGGCTTATAAGTTTTTTAGCCTTCATTCATTTTATTTTTTGCACGAATTTCCTTTTTGTTTTCCGCCACCGCACTTAGAATGCGCTGAGTTTGCATTTGGCTTTCATTTTAGCATTTTGCCAACCGCCTTTCTCCTAGCCCCCTGCTCCCTTGGTCCGAGTTACGAGTTCTTTTTAGTTTTTTAATCAAGATGTTTTAAATGCGGCCACGCCAGTGAATGATGGATTCCTTTTTGTCTTTTTTTTTTCATCCGCTGCCCCGACAAAGTAAACAGAAAGTTGGTTGGTGGGTTCGGCAAAAGATTTATGCAGATAATAAAATGAGTCTTCGAATGAATAATCAAGTTTTGCATGGCTGGCTGACGGTCCCGCTCATAATTAAGGTCCGCCCTTGAGCCCGACTCTGGCTCCATGCCGGGCGGCCTTTCTGCTCGCTCGATGATAGCGTAACTTTTTGAAAAGCCAGTACAAATCACCGAACCCGCCGAAAGCAAGTCAAGGACTGCAGCATTTCCTTAAAGTGGTCCGGCAATTTAGCCTGCGTTACCTGGACAAACTTTATAGAAAATGAAATTTTCTGGTGCTTCAGCGTTTTATTACCGTTCGTTTGGTCGGTTTATTGTTACCTGCATTCCACGGGCAGTCCAGGACAAAGGACAATAAAATGTGGCGAGCAGCGGGTGGCCATAACTTTCCGGAAACTGAAGAAGGCCAAACACGGTGCCGGAGAGCAAGTGCAACTTGTTAGACTTCCCCAGACTCAGACTCGGGCCACCTAAGGCTTTTTGTTTTTATTAAGTTCCGTGATAAATGTGATTTTTACGCACAGCTGCAGCGACCAGTCGCGGCATCCGTCAGTCCGGCGGACACACTTGTTGCCATTGTTGAGATACGAAATTAACTTTTACGCTTTATTACCGCAAGAGTGGTGAAACAAAACAAATCTTATGTTGCAGCTGCACTTCGCAACTCCATAAACTTCTGTTGTCTGTTGCTGTTGCTCCTGTTGTTGCTGCTATTGCTCCTCCCGTTGTCGTCTCTGTTTTATTTGACTCTGTTTCCGTCGTCGCCGCTTTTTGTCGCCGGCATCCGGAGGCCATCAAAATTGCCGGAAGCGCGAGCCGGGCAGTCAGTGGCATTGTCATCAACTCAATTACATTTGCGACTCCTTGCCCGGCAGCGGCAATTGCAGCTGGGGGAGTGAGCCCGGGCCAGAGTGACAGAAAGGAAGCTAGACGCGACTCGGCTTTTGTCCACTGACGGATGACAGAGCCTTCTAAACAAGCCGCACAATACGCGCGGCGTCGCTGGCTTTTATCTGGCCACGCCCGGCGGTGCCTCCTTCTCCTCCCTGTCCCGCCCAGCTCCATTGTGTCCTGTCTCGTGTGACGGATGCGACAGGAAACGCTGCGATTCTTGATAGCCAGCTAGCAGCACAAAGGCGCAGACCAGGAAAAAAAGGAGATAGAGATGGAGTTGGAACTGGAAGCTGAAGCACCTTTCCGTGTATCTATGGCGCCATAATTTACTGCTTCCCCTGCGCCGCGTGTAATCTATGGCCACGTTGCTTCGGCAGCGGAAATGTTTCACAGAGATTAGCACAACATGTCAACATTTTGATTTACCTGCATGCCCAGAGATTCACAGCCCACCAAACGCAACCCCAAGAACTAAGAGGCTCAGACTTCATTTCATCGATTGTCGAACCGGCATCATTAGCCGACTTTATGTTTGCCTCTCCATTTCCAATGCAAATTGAAATGACTGCGACACCGCATGCCAGCGACAGGCGGTCAGCTCGAGGCGGCCCTTGAGCGGATTATCCAGGCAAAGGTGGGTCTGGTTGTGCACTAGACTAGTGCCCATTCGGTGCCAGCGCTGGGACATGCTTGCAGTATCGTTCGTCCGCAGGCACGGCTTCAGAGTGACTTCGAGGGGTACTTCCACGCTCAGGCAGAACTCTCGTTGGGTACTGAGCTGCCCGGTACTACGAAACAGGCTCCACTGGGTGATGTCGTCGTGGTAGCAGCTCACCAGGATCAACTGCTGGCGAGAGTTCTTTACTCCGGCGTGGTGCAGACACCGATCCTCGTTCCTCAGAGTCCCCGTCGCAGCGAATTCATAAAGCATCGAACTGTTAAAAGGGTTATTTTTAAATTAATAATACCTCACATTTCAGACAAAACAGAGCGAAATTGTAAGTAAATATGAATTATTTGTGTAATTAAAAAACAAAATTTAAATGAATACTTGTAAGTTTACTTCAAAAAATCCTTTCAAATAATTATTTATATAATGTTATTCCTATGGTCTGAATGCTCAATTTTCGTAATATTTGTTTCCAGTGCACTGACCTTAGTTCGGGACTGACATGCCGCAGATACCAATGGAAGCGATGACACCGGCTCTCCCTCCTCAGCTGCTGCAGCTGGTGGGATGTGTGATTCAATGGAATTCTCCTGGCCGCCGGCTTCAGTGCGTAGAACATACTTTTGTACTCGTCCAGCCAGGACTCGGCTATGATTTTTGAGTTGCTGGGGGTGGGCGGCAGGCGAGTCCAATCAGCATGTGATAGGAATGTTTATATTAAACAGACGCTGTGATGGAGTAAATTGAAAAATTCCAGAGGACAGTGCGGCCATTTCACACCTAATCCCCCGACCTCGACTCACTGCAGATAGGTTGCCTGGGCGGGGCTCAGTTCCTGCTCCATCGGATGTTCGGGGTACTGCAGTGGGAAGTCGAAAGCATGGTGCCGGCGAAAGATGTGTCCGATTCGACTGCAGGGCACGATCTCAATTTGTCCGCCGCAAAGCCACAATTTAATGGCCAGCTCGATGGACTCACCGCCCCAGATCTGCAAGGATAAAAGCCCAATTGGGGCACTGAGTAAATTCGCTTTGAAATGCCAATGGCAATACGGAGGTCGGTGTCAGTCTCAGTCACAGAAAAGCCACATTCCTGGCCCCGACACTAGCAATTAGAGCACTTGACACCGGCTAATTAGCTTTTCTCACCTTCAGATTCGCGTTGAAGCTGCCAAGCTTAAGGAACCACTCGCGTGACATCAACAGCACACCGCCAGCAAAGACGGGACTACTGTAAGGCGTCTCGGGCAGCTCTTGGTTGGTTAGCTCGCGTTTATGCCAGTGGAAGTGCAGGGACCAATCGAACCCACCCCTCAACATCTCGTTGCCCTTCTGGTACCTCAAAGTGACGGGGTCAATGGGGTCCAGCACGGGACTGACCGCTAGATTGGGCCTGTGCGACACTCTCTCCAACAGGGGTTCCAGCCAGCCATCGTTCACCTCGCAGTGGCTGTCCAGGAAGAGGATGTAATCGCCGCTTGCCAAGGCGGCGCCCATATTTCGCGATGAAATCAGGCCCTGACGCTGTTTGTTGGTCAGGAAGATGAACCTCGGACGACCTAGTGTGCCTAGCCAGGCACGGAGCTCCTCGAGGAGGGTTTCTGTTAATAGAGTGATAAGTTTCGAAAGAGAAAGGGGCTCAATAACCTACTGTCCTGGCTGGCATCGTCCACGAGGACGATCTCGTGCAGATAGTCCGCGGGAGTGCGGCTCAGCAGGGAGACTATGGTGCGCAGCAGCATTGAACGAGCCTCGTTGTGGAAGCTTATCACCACACTCACTCGGGCTTCCAAGAAGGGCGGCAGGCTGTAGTTGTGGGTGTCACAGCTAAAAGGTTTACTTAGTACAAAATTATATAATTTAAATTTATATATTTAAATGTACTTACCTTGCATGCCTTGTTTTGGGCACTTTTCTAAATGCTCCCACAGTGTCGCTCAGCTGAAGATTGTATTGGTAATATTTCTCTGACCGTTCTGGTGTAAGGGATATAAATTCCCCCCAGCCACTGGCATTTCCATTGGGTAACCACTAAGAAATAACTCAGTTCTCAATTCTGGCATTCCAAAAAGTATTCTTTGCTCACTTTGCTTGCAGATATTTCTTGATTGATCCTATTGCACAGAATCACCAGAAAGAACAGAAACTGGCAGATGACACAGACGAAAATATAGTAAATCCAACGGCGTGGCAGATGGTATGACCTGCTGCCACCGAACATGACAAATATGTCGAGCAACTGAAGCGTTCCCAAGTCTTACTCCGATTCCGCATGGCGTTTCAAGTGATCACAAGTCGGCTGGGCAACCAAAGCGAAACTAAACCGCTAAGATTGGGACTTCACGTTCGTCGATTGTTGTGACTGATGAAAATGTGGGTTTATTATCGCTACCAAAACAAATGTTTGTGGTTTTCGTGTTTATCACATAAATAATGTGTCGTCACATGCAGAGTGTTATGTGAAGATATAGTTATTTATCTTATATTATATTATATCATGCTAAGTAATTATCAAATAAAAAATCATTCTTTTCAACGCTTTTCAACTATTTTTTCATTACCATTTATTTGTGGCTCTCTCAGTCCCATATCATCGCTTTCTGTCATTGATAAATGCTCGATAAGTTTGGCAAATATTTGTGTGCAGCTCGCAAGGTGTTAATTGTAGCCAACGGAACTATCTATTACCCATGAGCTGTCACGGTTCCGCGGTGGAAGGGTGCGAGGGCAGGGCATGTGGACAGGTGAGCCCAGGTATGTTATCGATGATGTTTCATTCATGGCCCTTTGGCGCGATTCGTTATCAAATATTTACAGCTTTTTATCCGAGCGCAAAGTGAATTGTGATTGAATATTATTTGTATGCAAGAAACTATTTAGTAAATACCCCAAACAAACAACAAAAATAGCGAAAATCATTCATTAAAATATTTCGTATTTGACTTTAACTGCGCAGAGGAAGAGAGCTATTTGTTTACATTATTTCTGCATTATAATTGCATTATTTTCCCTGGCATTTCTGCTCGCAAGGAGGGGAATATTTTGCAATTCATATTTAGCTGAGCAATTAATTGACTGTAATGATTTGCGCTATTTTCCACCACTACCCCGCTCCCTTAACCCTCCACCCTGTAACACACATAATATACAAAATGACTTGTTCCCTGTATGCAAATAATTGCTGTTGATTCGATTTGCGACATGATAATGTGATATACAAGCAAATATAGACTATTTTCTATGCCAATCAGTTGATGGCAAATAAATCGACGGGGGGATATGTGCCGGAGTGAATTAAATTGGCTACCAAATGGCCGGCGCTTTCATTGAGTCGAGATTCAGTGGCTCGGTGCTGGTTTCTCGCCTGCACTCGCATATTGGCATTGGCTTTTATGGCCTTTTGTTGCTGCCATAAATATTTCAAAGACCAGCGTCGCGTCGGTTGCCATGCGGAGGGGAGAGAGGGACCCACAAAAGCGCAAAAAAAAAAAAAAAATGGAAGTTGTAACAACTGCTATCCATCCGCACAGGCACATATAGCCATGTAGCCATAGCCACTACGGAGGGAGCCTTGTCCATATTGGCTGGTGTCCGAGTGGCTTGTTGGCCTTCCTTCCTCCCTCCGCTTTCCGCTTTCGCCCGGGTGATGTGATTTTATTTAAAATTGTTAGGCAAAGCGGAAGTAACTCATTCAGTTAGCAACAAAATCAGGGGCCATGCCCCGGCTAAATTGGAGTGTGACTTCCGCATTGCATTAGGGTTATACTAAGTTGTTGGCCGCTGGCTGATTGACTTACGTGCCCCTCGTTGTGCCCTTCGCTTTCGGTTTGCCGTGGCAACGTTTCTACGTGCAGCGGAAATGCATTTTTCCAGTCACGTCTCCTCCACTCAGACAGACGCCAGCCGGATCCGCATCCAGCTTTGGCTTCAGCTCCTCTTTATCCTGCCCCTGCTGCTGCTGGGCCAGGTAAGACATACGCCCCCACTGAGTGGCAGCGAGGGCCAGGGGATTCTTTTGTTTTCGGCTGCTTGGCGTGGGAATTTATTAAGCCGGGCGTGATCTATGCGCCCCAGCTGGGAGAATTAAAGTGCTTTGTAATGAATGCAGAGCTGCCAAGAATACGGGGATTCAGTAGCCGCGTATAGATATGCTTCCCCCGGCGCCTAATTGTATGCCGGGTCGCGTGTGCAGCTTAGCAATTAAGTGAGGCAGTGAGCAGTCGCCGATTCAAGGACGGCGATATTCAATATGTTTTCAATTTGCCGTTTTTCTTTTTCTCCACAACGCTGGGCCCGGGTCCTATCAAAGGCAATCGCAAAAGCCGTAAAACAAATAAAAATAAAACGAAATTATGCCAATAAATGAATTATAAGGCGCACGCACAACGCGGCGTATACGCAACGCTAGTCAAAGGAACGGGCGACAATGCCTAAGTGGCATGTAAATGTGTGTCAGCGTCTATGTGGCATTTTGTTGTGGGAGTGTGTGTGAGGGTGTGCGACCATGATTATTATACGGCCACTCACAGACACACACAAACGCTCATTGGTGTTCCTGTGTGCGTTATGATAATGTTAACAGCCCGGGCCAGGCTTCTAAAATTTTATTAGCAGGCAGCTTATGGAACTTTGAAAATAATAACAAAAGCATCGCTAAAACCAGCAAAAAAGAGTGCCTGTACCCCCGCTGGCCCCCCTCTTCTTGTGGCTCCTTGTTAGCCATAAAGAATATTGAGGAAATTGCTTTCTTTGCACTCGAAATGCTCAGCAGACTCAGCCGCTTAGCAGGGTGCACTCATTTCGAAATTGTTGCGTATTATCGTAAAATTTTACGCACACCCACATGCCCTTGCACAGTGGCTGCCAAGGACGTGAGCACACATACAAATGCGTATTCTGTGCACAGAAACAAAAAAAAACAGAATTCAATTACTGTCTTTCATTTTATTTGCATGCAAAAAACCAGTATTACAAGTACCATATATATATATGAATCAAAATAGCTTTTGACCCATTAAAGTACAGGATTTCATCTAAACAATTAGACAAAAATTAAACACATCAAATAAATATTTAAATTTAATATATTAATATTAATTTTTAATGGGGAAATATAATATAAGATACTGAGTAATAATAATAAGTACTTGCTTTTAAAGATAAAATGGTTTTATTAAGGTTTTTACACCATCAAAGTTTAAGTAAATTTAAATTTGAATGAAATGAAAAATATCGTTAACTTTCTTGAATCTGTATTTAGCTTAAATTTTGTTCTATACATTTTTCTTTTCCGTGCTGAAATATATTTTTCCTTTGCTATTGTTTGAGCCCTCCCTGGAGCAGACGACCGCATTTTGCTTGACAAACATTTCCATATCCAGCTGCAGCCCCACATATGACTGCTCCAAAGTGCGTGTGTCAGTTGAAAATATTTGGAAAACAAAACAAAAGATTGCGAGGCGAAAAAAAATGTGCTTGTTTTGGCCCATTTCATGAACTGCGGTCGCGCCCTTGAATTATTTAGTTTAATTTGGGAAAGTGCTTCTTTCATAAAGTGATATGCGGCTAATTTGCAAGGACCTCTCCTTCCATTGCGAGGCGCAAAATCACTGAAAGAAGATCAAAAGGGAGGGGGAGCAGAAAGCAGATCGAACACATGGACTGCCGATGGACGAAAATATAATTTCATTGATTTTCCATTTCAATTTCGGGAGGCAGAAAACCATTTTAATGATGTTTACACAGTTTGTATGCGCCCGTCAACATTTATAGCCACATCCACGTGCTGCTGCCTCTACATTCACAGTCACAGTCACAATCACAGTCACATTATGTGCTTTATTGCGATTGACTAGAACTTTTCACTATGCCCGACGGAGTACTTTAGTTGATGACATTATCGCTGCAATACAAAAGGTTTTTGCCACTGCCACTTCATCTCAGTGTTTGTACAGTTTCCCCGCCGCCATTCATTCGGCCCGGTTTTTGTCAATGACACTGATTCAGAGCCGGAGACGGAGTCTCCTTCTCCGTTACCGTTCCCGCTCCCATTCCTGGCGAATGTTGCTAAGCGGCGTCTGCGCGTTTAATGGCTCTCGTTGGGAACTTTGATTTGGCATTGGCACAGGCAGCAGCAGCAGCAGCAATTTTTCATTAATTTGATTGAACCTCAGCCTGGCGAGCGGAAATGAAGCAGAACAATTTAATGTCATATTTGGAAAATACATCCAAAAGAAGAAATGGCTTTTGTTTGATGTTCGCTTGTCTAAGCCTGGCTTGGGAATCGTTTCGTTTAAAAGAGAAATGTGTACACATAGCGTAAAGTGATTATGATATAAATTACTTTCAAATAAAACTTGAGCTTAGTTACGGTGGCCTCTGAAAAGGAAATAGGTAAGTGTGTGACAATTAAAAATGATGAAAGAAAGTATATTTTAAGAGGATTAAGGTACAATGTAAATGGGACATATGACCAGGACTGCTTTAAAGACTACATTTTTACATTTTAAAGTATCAAAATGAAATAACGATTAAAAAAGATGATAAAATTAAATTCGTGACTCAGTTTTGACAATTTCTGAAACGAAAACCAGTAAATGCTAAATTGAATATGTGACTAAGTTTTTATTTATATTTTTCACAACGATCAGTGAGCGTCAATGCATTCCCTTAGCAGCGGAATGCAATTGAGTCCTCAGAACTTCCGTTCCATGCTGACACACCCTTAAGGAGATTGGGCTTGGAAATGGTAATTTATCCGGATTGATGGACCTTGTGATCGCTTGAGTAGTGGCTGGGATGATAGCCAAAGTGTGGACGCCAGTCACCGGTTATATATTTCATTTTAATGTGTTTAACTGGCAGAAGAAAGACGTGGCCGAAACACAGCCAGGCCAAGGTGATAATCTTAAGTTGCAACATATCTACATCTGACCAAAGTGACTAAAGTGGTGCTATTCAAGTGTCAATAATTCAACCAAGGCGAAATTAAATTTAGTGAAACAAATCAATTTACTTTATTGCCATGTTTACGACATGCATAAAATTTTAAAAACAAAAAATAAGAGCAGAAAGATGTTTCGTTTCTAAATTAGACTCCGTTATAATACCGATTCCTCTATATCGAGTTTTCTTATCATCTTATTGCCATTCATCTCGATTTCGTTTAGGTCGTAGATAGTGGAGTACAGGATAATGCCCTGGACTGTCGGACAGTTGTGGCCAAACAAATTCACTCCACATATCATTTTATTGTAGATGATGGGATTTCCGATGCTTCTCTGACACGTGGAAGTGAACTTATTATTTTTCACGCAGATCATAGAATCGGGTGATAATGTTTCTTGATGGTCCTTCATGAGTTTCTGGCAAGCTTGGAAAAGAACGGTCCGTGTATTCGTCGATTGGATGGTGTTACGGGCTCTTATCCAAATGGGCATCACGACCTTGGAGTTGTCCTGGAGCCTGGAGTTGCAGAGTTGAACGGAGTCATTTCTCAATACGGAGGATAGCGGGCGTTTGTTAAGAAGAACGAAGGCCAACTGGGAATCCTCGCTCTGGGCGATAGTCTCGTTTTTGTTCATTCTACGCCCTGGGATTACCTCGCCGTCGAACGTTTTTACATCTACTAATTCGCTGCTACTACTATCGAAACAGGGTACCGCGGTTACGACCAGCAATTCGGATATTTGTGTGCCCGTGCAGATATAGTTGTTGTCCTGGTAGATGCGAACAATCAGCAGGTGGAGCATTACCGTCTTGCGGGACTTGGTGAGCAGAACCAGTGGTTCATTAGCTTTGCTATCTTCAATTCCTTGACTGCGTCCTTTTTTCAGTTGTGTCCTTTGAAGGTTATGACTGCCGTCTGCTTCCTGTATTGTATTTCGGGGGTTATGACGATGGTAGTCTCTCTGCGTCTTTGGGTTGTGCTGCGGCTTGTAATCAGAGAGCATGTAGCGGTGAAAATGCGTCCCCACCTTATCTCCCAAAGCAGCAAAGAGGATAGCCTGAAAAATACACAAAGAAAGCAGCCCCATGACTTAAGGGGACATAAGAGAACTGACCAAGACGTAGTCGCCAGCATTCCAGTAAGTCTATCAAATTGTTTGGACACGCATTTGCCAGATTTGCAATGCCGTGAATCTTATTTTATTATTTATTATTTATCAGTATGAAAATTATACAAATAAAAGTAATTTTAAAGTGGTTGTATATGTTCTGCAATATAATTTACAGATATGCAGGCCATTATGCCTTATTAACAAATATAATATAAGAGGCTTGAATTCAATAGAAAATATTTTTCTTAAATATCCGTGAAGTTTAGAGTTTCGCCAACGAAGAAATTTGGTTGCCGAGTGATTAGGGACTCAACCAAAGGTGACGGGAAAGGATTCGAGGTATTGTAGGGACCCGTGTGCGTGAACGCCCGCAGGGCGTCCGTGGCCATCTGGATAAACTTGACGACGGGCCGTATTGGCATATATATGTCTATGTTGACGTCGATCGGTGAGTTGGAACAGACCGCGCCGAACACGTTTATGCCAGCCAGTTTGTTGTCAACGAGTAACGGATCTCCGGGACGAGTGCTGCATGTGGTCGGATTTTTCTTGCTAGCCGTACAGAAATAGTCCGATCCTTCGGTGGAAAAGCCCGGTATTGTGCCAAAGCGTTCAATCACGGTGTGGTAACTTTGGCATCGATCTTTTTTCAAAATCTTGGAATCTGTAGAATGCTCGATGCGATAGCTTTGTGGATCCAAAAAGGCGATTTTTATTTGATCTCCCGCATTCGTCTTTTTTTGGTAAAGATCTATGTGGCGATAGGAATTCCGAGAGAGTTTAGACTGTAAACCCAGGAGAGCCACGGAACTGATTTTCTCTTTGACCTTATCTACAGGCATAAAGAAAGCGATAACCTGATGCGGATTACTCATCGCGAACTGGCCGCCAGTCGTCACACCCATTTCACTGGCCCTGTACACAAGGGATGTCCTCTCATCTTCTGATTTCGGCTGAAAGCAGTTCGACGAAGTGATAACCATCCGGTACGAGATTAGAGCTCCCGGGCAGATCACAGAGCCAAGGTGAAGCACATGGACATAGTAACTAAGGTCCTTCTCCGGATCAAAGGGAGGCCGGATTCCTGTTCCGTTCTTTCCGTCTTTATCCCGCTTCTCGAGTGCCTCGCGATTGTAGTCCACGTGATCTTTGGAACTGTGCCTTTTATTGTAATATGTAGGGCGATGGTAGTTCTCCATGTATTTTTTTATCCAAATAGAGGCGCTGTAGTTTAGGACTAGGACCAGCAGAAGGCCTATCAGTAACAGTTGCATGTTGAGCTTTGACTGGTGTTAAGATAGGGAACTGATCCGGTTTCACCTAGATTGCACCATAGAAAGGGGGTAATTTCCATGGCAAACTTAATTAGTTTCACTTAGCAAGAGGAGGTATTCACTGTAAACAAAGCTTTTAAGAAGCATTCTATACATATATAAGTAATTATGTAATAAATAATTTATAAATAGAATGTCATTTCCAAAAGCCTCCAATATATATATTAACTTGGCACTGAATATTATACACAATCTATAATAATATTTTAATATGCTACCAAAAACGTCAAGTGCATTTCTAAGCAATTTCCTGTAAGTACCAGTTCCGGATAACGCTTTTTTTATCGGAGTCTGCAGCAATATTAATTAAAAATGTAGATGAAAGCCAATCGGTAGACACATTCCCTCTTTCTCTCGCTCTCTCTGTGTTCCTCTTGAAGCCTGTGTACGTGTCCTTTATTTGCCGTGACTTGCATTGTTTTGGCATTTGCATTTTTTACAGCATACTTTTGTGCGCGCCGAAAGTGTATGGCTTCCAGGGACAATGCATTGGGTTGTCTCCTGGCCAGCAGCCGGAGCTGCGCATTGAATTATAAACCAAGCATCGATGGTCGTCATTTAACTCTTGCCTTTCTGCCGAGTAGCCAGTCCTGACAACGCCAGACGACATTCTGCCGGATGTGAAAGGCTTGAAGGGCTGCAAGGACTGCAAAGGTATGTGTGCAAGATGGCTGGAAAAAATGCGCCGTACAACGAAGGACATAGATAATTAATTTGCTTTGATTACAGTTGTCTGGGCCCGGCAAAAACCAGCTCTGGCTCTGAAGTGGACTGGCAGACGGAAATTGAAGTGTTTGTAATGTATGCGAGAGGCTGGCCTGGCACCGATCGGACCTGGTGGCTCCTTAGCCTGCGGCAAGAAAACCCATGGGCCAAAGGCATTTCCTCTTCCATCTGGCCCTGGCGTCGACAGCAAAAAGTGACAGCCACGTTGGCAGGCTCGACGACGGCGACGAGTGCGTCTAATTGATGGGCAGCCAAAGGCTTTTCCATGCAAATATGTACGAGTGACTGACTGGCAACGGATGGCTCTGGATTTCGCAGGCTGCCTGCTGCCGGGTCGGGTTCGCTCATCAATTATTTAAAATATGTTACACTTGGCACATAACTTGGCTGACAAACTTGTGTTATTTCGACGACGCCGACCCGTAAGCCGAGCCAGTGGCCATAATAGCCGGTCATTATGTTTATGTGCCGGCGCTGGGGGACATGACCGGAGCAGCCATACACCTGACTCGTATCCGGGAAAAAGGATACGGGGCCCGCGCTCAACGACCTTGTCGAAATTTATGCGTACGTGCCTGGCAGAAAAAACGTGGTCGACGACAACCAAACCTCGGGTCATTTATTATTAGCTGTAAAATGCGTGCCAGCTCCGGTTTGCTTCCGCCTTTAGTTTGGATTTTAGTGTTTCAGCGAACTGGCTTTGCTATCTATAAATATTCCCAATATGTGAATACGAAACACAATCCAGGTCGCGACTTGATAGAGTGTGGTGTGTAAAAATAAAAAGAAAAGGAAGACGTGGGCTTCTTTCTCTTAATTATCTCAGAAATCTTGAGCTATGTAAGCATCTGTAAATAAGGCAAAACAATAAAATGCTTAAATTATATGAAACAGACTAAAACTATAACCTTCTTTATATAAGTCTTAACTCTGGATATTTCACAATTAAGCCCACTCAACTGCAGCTTTCCCACACATTTAGGGTTTCTACTGGCACATTTTAGGTCAAACTTATATTAGTTATTCCTGCAGTTAGCAAATGAAAGAACAATAGTTATTTTATAATTGATTTCGTATTTGTATTTGTATTTTCTTCCATGTCCTTTGTCACACTCCCCATGCTAGTTTAATAGAAACAAACCCGTTCTGATAAAACTAAAGCACTATTATTTACCTAGCTTAAGGGTAGATTTCAGCAAGGACGTCGTTCGTGTTTTATCCCAGCGCTGTCGACGGCAAATTAAATGTCACTCACACGCCATGTAAGCCGAGCAAAGATTTTGCAGCTCATTATGCAGCATGACGCAATGAAAAACACAGGGGAGCCTGCGATGGAGTTGAGCTTATTTGAATTTACAAGTTGCCGACGAGGACTAATGGCAAATTCAATTTTAAGCGGTGCCGGGCGGAGAGTATAACGCTTTAAAGGCAATCAAAGACAGTTGCCCAACTCGGAGCTGGATCTCTGCATGGGATTTGGCTGCAGGGTCAGCTGGGCGAGTGCATTTGTCTTGAGAAACTCGGACATGAACACGGCAAAGAGCTAGTTGCGATGGACACGAAATGCCGGCGGCCCGAAAAGTGGATGCAGCAGGAGAAAGGAGCTGGAGTTGGAGCAGTAGCAAAGGAGCAGAGCGATCTCAGCGGTGGCGGCTACGTCTTTGATTGCTCCGGCTCTACTCCTGTCTTCCACTCAAGCACAGTTCGTTGCACATTTGAACATACCCTCGGAAAATAAATGCAAATTTAGCCTTGGCAAACACTCGTCCTCGCACTGGCACTGGCACTGGCTCTGGCTCTGGAACTGGAACTGGCCCACTGGCCAGGACATGCGCTGCTCCTTTTACTGCCGCCGCTGCACATTTCCCGAGTGCCAAAGCGCTGCTCTATTTCGCTCCAGTCCGCTCCTCCTCTTTCAACATATTTGTATAAATTTTCGATTTTCTGCTTCAATAGTCTGCTGGCGTTCTATAGCTCCTGCTGCAGCGTCTATTCGCTCCTCTTCACTTTGTTTATGTCTCAAGAATTCAATATTTTTTCAAACTATTTCTGCTGTTTTCCTCGCACTTGCTTTGTTGTGCTCGCTTCTCGCCTCTCGGTTCTCGGTTCAATATATAGAATTACTGCCAAAGGATTGAAAACAGCCAAGCTCACATTCACGCACACTCGTCCGGGTTTTGTTTGAGGAACCCTGGGGCAAGTTAAAGTAGTTTATCGGTTCGATTTGAGGTGTGGAAGAACCTACGGAATTTACTTTTCACTCTCACATTTTATATGCTCATTAAATTTTATTGCTCTTATATAGTTCTAAGTCCCTAACAGCACGCAGAACTCGTTTTGTTTTGCCATGAACGTGCTTAAACGCTGCTGCCTGCTGGCTGGCGCCTGTGCTGCCGTTCGCTACTTAATGGCTAATTAGTGGTATAATTTACACCTTAATGACTCTACAACAATGCCGAGGCTGCTGGGGCGGGAGCAGCTCCGGCCAAGAAGCCACAGTCAGGAGGGATCTGAGCCGAGCCGAGTCGAGTTGAGCAGCTATCTAGTTTAATCCCAGCACCTTGCAACGTAGGTCCCAGCCTCCCAGTCCGCAGACCCTGCCAATCTACAGACTCTGACTAGGGCCATGGCCACATTTTATCGCTCGTCTCATATGTATGTTATGTGCTTTGCTTTATGTGCAAATCAGCGTCCATTAATAAAGACAGGCAACGAAACGTTACGCATACGCCGCGTTGCATTAATCACGGCGAAGGATACACTCACATGAGCTCGCAGCAGCCGAGCCTATGTATTGTGAGCCTCAGCAGCGTGTTAATTTCATCGCAAATGCCTTTTTCAGTATGAAAATTTATGTCTGCCATTTTAGACAGTTTGATTTATGACCTCGGCTCTGGGTGGAATCGGGGATTCGGTGAATGTATTCCGATAGCTGCGGCGGCTTTAACCACTAAGCGGAATTTCCTGAAAATAATACACATGCTAAATCAATTAATTAGCTGATTGCGGAAACGTATATTCATTTTAGCTCCTGTTCCATTTTACCAAAGCTTTAACCCTTGCTAGACTTCAAATATGCTGGAGCCCGCGGGGCAAAATTACATATCAATATTTTGCTCAACGAAATTGATTGACTTGCATGCGAGACGAGGGTATGCAAGGCGAGGCAAAAATGTTGTCACGCACTCTGAAATTATTCAAAATGACACACAGCTTGCACACACACACACATATACACTATGTGTGTGCACCTGACAAAAGCAACTCGCAAAGCTGAACCCCGCAGTTCGCAATGCAATTTGCAAATTGCCATAAAGCTGCAATTGTGTCAAATATTTTAATGCAAAAAGGGTCACAGCAGGAGAGCTCACGGAGCTTGTGACTGGCAATAGTTGAGTGAGTGGTAAATGCATTCATCGACTCGTTCGAGGCACTCGCTAATGGCAACGCTGCGTATACGCAATGTTCCAGCTATGACATCAGTCGCATTAATGCCGAGTATCGGAAAGCTTATCGCGATTCCGGCAATTCCAAGCCAAAAGATCAATTACGGACGAACATAAATCCGTTTAGAACCACAAAATCTAAACGGCCCGCCTTAAATAAAACTAAGGCAACCAAGCCAACCAAGCAGGGCAATTCAATTTTTATTCTCTATTTTTTTATTTATGGCCACGGTCCTTAAACCAAAACTCAAAATATATTTTGGCCAGAGAACGACAACAATGCACAGCGACAGCGAGGACAATCGGCAGCGCGTTAAAAACAACCGAAAATATTACAACATTTTAATAGCGAAAATGAAGATTTATTGCCACCGACGACGGCGTATGACGCCGCCAAAATGTGCCACAAAAAACAGAGAGCTCAACTAAAAAGCGCGTTTAAAACAAAAGTAAAACAAGGGGCGACTGACCGCCAAAAGTCGAGGCAGTTAATGGTGAGATTTATCTATTAAATCGACTAAAAAATGCTATAGAACTATCCATAGGAATTAAGTGAAGTTAACTAAGACTTAAGGATTGCCGTTTTTTGGCAAAATTGTATAAGAAATAATACCACATATTTAATACTTTAATTTAATTAAAAAATCAACATTTAAATTCAGTTGCTCGAATCTATATAATAAGTAACTTTTTTAAATTACTTTTAGCTATTTTATTTTAGAGTTGATTAAAACATATATTGCAAAATTTTTAAATGCTTTCTAATATTTTAAGTAAATT